AATATGTTATTGAATGTAAGCATTCTTTATTATTATATTATAAAAAAATACTTTTTATAATTTAATTAAAAATATTAATTTTTATAATTATATAATAATAATAATCAAATATAATAAAAACTAAAGCAAAAAAGAAAATAGTTTTTAATATTTTAAAAATATTTTTTTAATTAAAGATTTAGTTTTATATCTTTTTCTTTTTTAAAAAATAATTAAGGGATTTTACAATTTGAGAAAAGTTGTAAATAAAATATTAATAAAAATTAACAAAATTGAAAAAATATTAAAGATCTTTAAGCTTAATTAGTAATTTCCAATTGAATATAGTATTGACTTTTTCCGAATTTATTTTTATTTTTTCTAAAATAATAATCAAATTAAAATAGTTAGTTTTTTTATTTCAAATTTGTATTTATTAATATTAATTTGTAATTTAATATCAATTAATTATTAAATTACTTTATAAATATATTTTTTATAATTTATAATATTCTTGAAATAAATAAGAATATTATTTAAATATACTATATAAGTTTTATTTAGGAAATCAAAAAGAATGTAATTAATATAATTCTAAAACAAAATAAATGTATTATAAAGTCCAAAAGATATTATTAATAATTCGAATAAGTCAAAATAAATAATAAAAACAGTTTTCTATTTGTAACTTTTTGTGATTTATAATTTGTTGAAAATAGTAATAATATCGAATTTGATATAGATTTTTGTATAATATAAAATATCAAGAGTTTTTTTAATCAATAATAAAAAGTATTAGTTCTTAATAATAATATTATTTAGATTTCAATAATTTCAATAAATTCAAATACTTCTTTTAAATTTAACAATTAGAAAAAATAGAGTAGCTGATTTAAAATAAGATTTCTGAATAAATTTTTTGTTCAAATTATTATTAAATTATTTATAAATCATTTAAAGTTTAATTAAAAATATTAAATAACCTTTATTATATAATAATTCTTTATTTAATATAATCTCAATCTTATAATTCTAGGAATATTATAATGGAAATTTATTAATCAAAAAAAATAGAAATTCTGGATATAGATTGTAAAGTTAGGGAGGTAACTTATTTTGGATTTTTGTTATAAAGAAAATAAATCGATTTGTTTTTTCTATGAATTTATTAATATTCTAAAGTTAATAATTATTTGAATTGAGGTTAATTTTAGGATTAATTGGTTTAGGATTATTTTAATTTGAATATTTGTTTTACTATTATTATAACAAATATAATATAAATTTAATCTGAATAATACTTTGAAATTAATAATATCAAGATTTTTTTAGATATTTAAAATCTTGATAAATTCAAGAATTACAAATTGATTTCAGAGTAATAACAAAATATTTTCAAAGTTTTTATTGATAATTTTTTATAAAGATTAATTTCGAAGTAAACTTTTATAAAAATAATTTAAAATCAATTAATATCATTTTATTATTTTTTAATAAAATTATTTTTTGATTATTAATTATATTAGGAATAGTAATTATTATAAAATTAATAGGATAATAATATTTTGAATAATATATAAATATAAACTTAAGTGTTATTACTAATTAATTAATGATAGGGTTGTAATATTAGAGTTATAAAAAACCAAGAATTATAGAATTTATAATTGATAAAGTAGTGATGTAGAATAAATCAATCTTTTTGTAATTATTGATTTGTATATTTAGAAGTGTATATTAAAAAAGAATATTGGAGGATTTTTTATTAATTAGAAGTAAGTAATAAATATAAAAAAGAAAGTATATAAATATATAAAACTTAAAGATAACTTTTCTATTAATAAAGCTATAGTTTGTAGTTTTATTATTTATAAAACTAACAAATAGAATAATCATATTAAATATAAGGGAAATTTCTGTTGAGATTTTAAGAAATTTGTTATTTATTGATTTAAGATATAAAGAATCCCTAGATATAATTAATTTTCTAATTTATAAAGTTAAATTTCTTATAAAAGATTTCGATTTGTAATTGTAAATCGAGATTAATCTTACAATATATCTAATTGAGAAATTAAGTTTTTGCTTTTTTTTGAATAAACAGATCCCTTAATATATCCTTTTAAATTAAGCTTTTAAATAAAACCAAAAGGAATTAAAAAGATATAATATAATAATATAATTAAAAAACAATTAGTAAATAGGAATGAATTCTAATATAAAAGAATAATAATATAATAATAGAATCCGGGGCTTTAATATTAATTAATTATAGGGAAATAATTGATATAAGAAATATATCTCATATTAATATTAATATTAATATTAATATTATACTTTATATTATTGGTTTGTTTTTCCTTACAATTATCTTTAATATAATTAGGCTTTTTGCAATAAAAACAAAGATTAAAATTAATATATTATTTTCAAATATAATAAAATAAAGAATATTAATCTTATCAAATAATATTCAATTATATAAAATCATTAGAGAAATCAAATATAAAAGAAGTTGTAATAATAACCTACTTTCTATTTTAAGATTTCAATTAATTATAATTAAAATTGATATCTTGATTCTTTTATTAATTATTAAAATAAATCTTTTTTTTTTCAAATTATTATAAATATTTTGTTATTAGATTGTTTATAAATCAATATTAGTAATAAAGAATTTATTAAAATAATTAATTAAAGTATTAATTAATTTTTATAAAATCTTAAATTTGAAATCAATAATTTATTATTCAATGGTTTTTTTATATTTAATAACAAACTATTTGAATTCGATAATAAAATTATCAAACAAAATCTTTTTTATTTTATATTTATTATAATTCATAAAAACTTTATATAAAAAATCAAAGGTTTAATATTATTTATTTAATTTATATCAAATATTTATTATAATATATTATTTGGAAGGTTAAAAATTGGAAATATATAGATTATTAGTAATTATATCGAAATATATCTAATTGTTTATATAAGTAGAGTTAGAGAATAAATTAATAAAAAATATAATTTTTTAGAATTCCGATTTATTTTTGTAATCTATATTTAAATAATAATTAATTATATTATAAAACATTATATATTAATTCTAATGTTTTATAATATCTTACTCATCACCACTAAACTTTTCGAAAGTAATAAAATAATTTCAATAAAATAAGACTTACAGATTATTATAAATAATAATTTTCAATATCTTGATTATATTCTTTAATTCAATAATCTTTAATTAAATATTAACAATTTGGATTTATATTACAGTGACTTGGATTTATAATAAACTTATAATCAATTTAATTAATTCAAATATAACTTAAACAATTATAAAATGTATAGTATTTGAATTATTAAATAAATCTATAAACAAAAAGATATTAATTTCAACAAAATTAAAAATATAATTCAAGAAAAGAAATTATAGAAATAAATTAAATACAAATACTTAATTAATTATTTTTAAAATACTTTTGTAATTATAAAACAATCTTATAGAATTCCTAAATAATAATAATTAGAATATACAACAGATTAGTAGTAAATATAATTAGTGTAATTGGATTATAACTTTAATAAGAATTTAATTAAAATAAAGCTATAATAACTTTTATAAAGATAATATAAATTGTCAAGATATGAGTAAAGACTTATATTGTACCATAAGAATAAAAGAGTTATGGAAAAATAAGGTTTTACTTATAAGAAGTAGGGCATACTAGTGATCTATACCTGAGACACAAAGGCAATTATAGAATATGTAGTTGGCGCCGTGACAAATATTAAAATAACCCTAAAATCACTCTGAAGCTTTTTAAGATTATTTTTATTAATATAATTCAAGTTAGTATTCAATTATATAAAACAAAAAGGTTAGAAGAAATTATAAAAATGGAAAAGAAGAAAAGAAATCGATTCAAAAGATTAAATCTAAGTAAATAGAGTATATTTATATTCTCCTAATATTATTTTTAAAGTTAAGATATATTAAGTTATTAAAGAGCTTACTATTCAATAGAATAGAAAAATCAAAAAGCTAAAGAAAACTGAAAAGAAAACTGAAAAGCAAAAGAAGCATTCAGAGATACAAAAAAGAATTAAACAAAAGGAGATTGATTATCAAATTCTATAAAGTTTCAAAAAGTATAGCAAAAAAGTTTCTAAAATATTAAGTTCATTTATTAAATAAACTAAAAGCATTTTAAAACTTTCTGTTATATCAGATCTAATATTTCGAAATGTTATAAATCTCCCAAATAAAAAGGAAATTGATATTTCAGGAAATAAGAAAGAGAAAATGGAAATTAGAACTAAAAGCGAATAAACAATTACAATAACAATAAGGTTTAAAATTTAATTATCTTATAAATCTATATAATAATATTATATCATATTGCCAACATTTCGAAGTTTCAATTGAATATATTATAAATTATAACTATAATTAAATATTGAAGTTGTAGTGATAGTGAATTTGAGGTTGTGCAAGATACAGGGACGTCGGTTATTGGACATTTGACTGAATTGCGGTTTGATGACCAATCGATATTCGACCTATCAATTCTGCCATATTTGAAGGATGATCGGTCTGAACGGTATACAAGGTGATACGATGCCATTTAATGTCGTTACCCGCAAAGGAAGGAAGGAAACAAATTAAAGTTGACGGAGCGGGAAGGTGGCTCGGGTGGTTCTGATCAATTTGTGCACGGACCATCAATTTAAGGTCACGTGATTATATTCTCACGAGGGCAGAGGAGAGAAGTTCCTTCCCTACGAAGGATATTCATTACTACCTAGATACCTTGTGGATATCTACTACCAAGTGAAGTATATTTGATACCTGGAGCAAAAGAAAGAAAGATTGCATTCTCTCTTCGTTTCATCTCCACTGATCGCTAATTCATATCAAAAATGGGTTTCTGATCCTTCTTTCCATCTTCACTTTCATTCATTTCTCAAAATTTCTTCAGTCAATCGTCTACAACCTATTCCTTTCATTACATAAAATGCTTCTCCGGTATAGAAGTAGTCTCTTCTCTGCCATTGGCGCTCTCTTCATCCTTTGGACATTGTTAAGAAATCACGGAAAGATTGTAAGCCATGTGGTTGAACAGTATAAAGGTACAGTGGTAACGGAAACTGTGAAAGGGTCAGGTTTTGAACAAGTACCTACGATTCAGATTATCGATCCTCTGGTAGTTGAAATCCCAAAACCACAAGAATACTTTTTTCAAGCTCCACCAAAAGTTCCAATTGGTCCGCCGACCCTCATCAAACCTACGATTGTGAGCAGCAGAGTCACTATTCATTTGTCAATACAAAACCTCGAGGCCACGATAACAGAAATATCCTCTTCAGGATTCTCAACTTCAACTGCAACGTCCATCATTCAGGATGAGTTCGTGAAAGAGAACGCGATACTTGGGCAGTAAGTCTGTGATAGCCCTCTTCAACTGCCTGTTTGCTGAAAGTTTTTGTCAGGGAACCAAGTGCGGGCCAAATTTATGGGAACACCCTGAATGGAGTTGTAGGAGCGGGCTCGCATACCGAATCTCACTTATCTGTCCTCAATGAGATTGATGTCTGGAAATCGTATAGCAAATCGAAACCACTTGAATATAACCCATATCCCGACTATAATAGTGAAGTTTGGAAGTCAAAGAACAAAGGAGACTATGTGCCATGCGATGGAGCAGATGGGCCAATCAAAAATATCTTGGCGTTCTCAGGACATCCGAAAGTCTTCGAAGAACCGCAGATGGGATCATTCTCGCTCTTTGATATCGACAGTAACTTATGCTTCGAGAGAGAAACTAGGCTCGGTTTATACGGCTACGCGGAAAGTTTTGTAGAGTCAATCGGCACTGGCCCACTTGTTGGGACAATCCAGAATAAACGCGATGTGCCTACGAGAATACAGTGGGATGACATTAACTGGGGATCACTTCAAACTCAATGTGTTGAAAAGAACACGAACCGATACCTAGTTTCCGAGACTTCCCATCCATCCAATGAAGAAATCATGATTCCTGCTCAAAATGCATCGTTGGCATGGTATAATTCGAAGGCAAAAGAAACCAATACCAAGAAAAGAGTACTTGGCACTATCGTTAATCGAAAGCAGAATGATGAAGATGAGCCGAAAGATCATTTCGTTCAGGCACAACTATCAAAGGCAGCCATAGCTGCAATCGATTCCAAACAGCCCTTTAAATCACGTACAGCAATTATGCTTCGATCCTACTCTGGAAAGAAGTGGAACGACAATGACAAGCAAAATGTTCGCTCGCTTATTACAGAGCTAGCTTTGAAATCTGGAGGGGAGTACGAGGTTTTCTTGCTCGTACATATCAGAAACAGTACCATTGCCATTGAGAACGACGCAGACTACATCGAAGCTCTCCAGAAAAATGTCCCCACAGAATTTCATGACATCGCGGTGCTTTGGAACGAAGCTTACGTACAGGGGTTTTACCCACTCATCCCGAAAAAGGTTACTAACGTACATCAATCTCAATGGCTCCCCGTTCAGATATTCGCACTTGATTATCCACAGTTTGACTTCTATTGGAATTGGGAAATGGACACTCGATATACTGGCAATCATTATGATCTTCTCGAGAGGCTCATAAACTTCGGAATAGACCAACCAAGAAAATATTTATGGGAACGGAATGAACGATATTATATTCCATCGATACATGGTTCCTACAATACTGAGTTCCGCAAGTCGGTTGAAATTCTCTCGGGTAAAGATACGATATGGGCTCCACCGAAAATTGCAAATGTTATTCCCACCGGTCCATCGCCGCCTGTTTCAGACCCAGCACACGATAATTATGAATGGGGCGTTGGCGAAGCGGCAGACTATATATCTGTTGCACCAATGTTTAATCCAAATGGCACTGGATGGGTTGGAAGAAACGATGTCTGGGGATTTGATGGATGTAATGATACTCCTCGTCGTACAACCATCATCACACATTCAATGTGTAGTAAGAAGTTGCTGGATGCTATGCATACTGAAAATCTTAAAGGGAATCATGTCAGCAGCGAAATGACACCTCAGACTGTTGCTCTACTTCATGGATTGAAAGCAGTGTATGCACCTCTTCCAATATTCTTTGACAGGGCTTGGAATGGTACTAGCTTAAATAAATGGTTCAACCCTGGACCAAAAGGAGAGAGCGGTATTTCATCAGACAGTCCATACGGTTGGGGTAAGGAGAAAAGATTCCTGGGAATGACATGGTATTACAGGGCCATTCCACCAGGTCGGCTGTATAATAATTGGATGGGATGGGCGGATCATGGAATTGGTGGGGTTGAGGTATGTTTAAACATTATTTTTGTTAATGCGCAAAGGCTAATGTACACAGTGGGAGAAAATACATGGCAGGCCATGTCTTCCCCCACTTTTACTTCATCCTGTCAAAAATACAGAGAATACGAAGCCAGGTTATTCTACGAAATACAATTTCCCTTGATGGTAGACAGGCATGGATTTGTATAAGTTTTGGGCTGGGTAAATTCTAGGAGTCGGGAGAAGGTGCACGTAGGCGTTGAACTGTCTGCTATCTTTTTATCAACAACGGAAATATCTAGGGGATTTGAAGATGGGTAAAGAACAAGTGAAAGGTATTAAGAAGATGGGAATATTTGCTTGGCGTAACTTGCTAGATGGTGATATAATGAATAATTTGCCATTTTTTGAGTATTGAGTCGATTGTTTTTGAATGGTAGTGAATGGAACACAACGAATCGTAATTCTTGAGGGACATTTTGATTTATTTCTTTTACGGATATTGTGCTGAGAACTACAATAGGATCTTGACCACATAAGTCGGTACTATGGCCTGGACTCAAGTCGAGCTGTGTAAGTCATAGATTTGAGGATTCGGGGAGCTATGAAGAAAAGTGCCGGGTGTTTCTCCTAGTCTCACGGTATGATATCATGTAATGGGAGTGATATATTGGTTAGTTGATGATGTAAAGGTTGTTTGTGGATTGGGAGAGGGGTTATAACCGATTAATGTAATGTTGTCTATTCATCTATTTATCTGGATTGGTGAGTTGCTGTTTTTGTTTAAGGTATGTTTTCATGTTGGTGGAACTACTTTGGGGTTTGTTAGGGGAGGAATGTGTTGAGTGTGGTTTTTGGGATGTTGGTGAAATGTAGGAGGGGGTTTCTTGGGGGTTTTGGTTTGTTTTGGGGTTTGTTTTGGTAGTGTTGAGGTGAGTGTGGATGGATGTGGGTGGGTAAGTAGATGATAAGGGGTATAAGGCTAGTATAGGGTGTTTGTGCGGAGATGAGTGTTTTGAGGATGAAATAGCATGGTTGGAATTTGGCTTTGAGATGAGGGAGGAATTTAGGGGTTGAGAGTCAATATTTGTTGGAGAGAGAAGAGTTGTGGGTTGGGGCTTGGGGGGAAGAGAAAGGAAGGAGGGGAGAAAAAGAGAAGAGAGAAAGTTGATAGGAGAGTTAGAGTTAGAGAGAGAGAGTGAGAGGGAAAGGGAGAGGGAGAGTGAGAGAAGAAAGGAGGATCAGTGAATGCATTATTGGACATTCCTCGGGACTTTGGTATATAAATATTATGAACTATCGATTGATGAAATCCAGTATGGACGTTTGTGATGGGGAAATATACGATCAGAGTGTAGTGGTTGAGATTTCGGGGGTTCTCTTAGTAAGCTAAAGAGATGGCTTTTACCTTGGGTTATTGATATTATTATTTAGGGGGTATTGATTGTCATTTGGGTGAATCTTTGACTGTTGTTGTTGTTGTTGGTGGTGGTGGTGGTGGTGGTGGTGGTGGTGGTGGTGGTGGTGGTTTTGAGATACAATGGAGTTGTGTCTCAGGGCTTGGGGTTATTGTAATAATTGCAATGTTGGTAAGAGCAAGAGTGTATGAAAATGAGAGAGAGATGAAACTGGAAGAGTTTATTCGAATTGAGGTGGTGGATTTAAGTGACTAGGGTGGGTCGGTGTGATGGGGGATAGGATTTCATGTTGGTTGCAGTCGAGCAATCTTTTTGGTTCGGGAAATTGATGACGCTGAAGATGGATACTTGTTGAATGAAAGTTGAAGTAAATAGGCCAGTTGCTTCACCAAGTCTTTCAACCAATCATCTCCTTTTCTGCTTGCGGCATACAGTATAAATTGTGTAGGGTTATGAAAACCCTCGAATCTCTTCAAGGTACTCTCAGGACCAAGAATCCACCTCCTGGCATGGCAGAAAATTCAGTAGGAGATTAGGGTTGTGGGCTTTGTTGCAGATCATAGGGTCTTAGAGGGTTGTAGTTCAGAAAATTGCGGTCTAAGCAGATTCATGAGCGGGTGCGATGATATAGAATCTGATATGATTTATTTTGTTTCTTCTTCTTCTTGTTATCTCAGACTTGTTAGCAATTTATTATAATAGATGCAGCTTGCCTAGTATGTACTATGAGAGGGAATTTAAAGTCCTGGTATCAAATGTGGTATTCTATTGAGTGATACGCTTTTTGCGGTGAGGAGCTTGAGCAGATATTTGCTCTCCGTGGATTTCCCTGCACTTAATATTCTGGGTTTTCTAGTTGGGTGGAAGTAGCAAAGAATGGGTGGGAAAGGCGGTTATATAGAAATGAAAAATTTGCATCTTCCTTGTAACGGGAAAAGTGTTGTGGGAGGTAGTTTAGGTGGCGGGAGGAGAAAGAGCGGGGGAATATGCGGGAGGGGTTAATGAGTAAAGAGTGGGTTGGGCCAGTAGTATACTCTCGCCATGAAGATTGAAAGTTGGATGTCGATGATTGATTAGTGAATAGGTAGGAGACGATCAGTAATATCTTCCTGTATACCTAGATATTTAAAGACCATGAGCTCTACTGAGTTTCAAAGTATCAAATAATGTCTTGCCCGATGACCAAGAAACGCAAGAAGGTCTTACCATAGGTATGGTACTTTTTTTCCCAGAAGAAAAAAAGAATAGTTAGAGAATGGGTGACTGAATGGTCCCCCTTAAAGCTCATATCACACATTTGGTTCATCGTTGTTGATCTCATTCTCAGACCATACGCTATCAATGAAGAGGGTCTGGATATTGAGATAAATATTTCTTGTGAGTTTGAGTATCTCGGATTCTAATGTATCATTACCGTCGATACTCTTCACTTGTATTATACTTCATTCATTATCATTTTCATCAGGCTTAGCTTCTATCAAGATCTCGGAACTCAATCGAAGTCTATACACGTTTTTGATCAGAGAATCTCAAGAAATTTCGGAAAACAATGATAGGAATCTCCCCTATAATGGGGTTTCCTTGAATATGGAGTATCTGACGCTGATGAGCGGTAGTAGTACTACATGGCTGCTCTCTGATATCGGGTTTTACAGATTGTTGTCGATTTGATGACTTTCAATAGCTTATGGACGGACTACACAGTTGCGATAGAGCCTCTCCGATGGCAATTTGGAACTTTAGCGAAGATTTAACAGAAACAAGGTATGTACCCACGTGGTACCTACCTTGTTAGTGCTAAAACCATAGCCCGTAACTAGTACAGCATGGGAACTGGTAAACTGTGCAAACGAATATGGTTAAATGTCGGGATCCGAGGTAAAAAGGTCACGCTGTGGCTAGAAATATGGCGCTATCGAGGGGGTAGAGTCCAGTAACAGATATGGTTAGATTATCATTTCAACATATCATTCTAAGACCCACGGTGATTACACAATATTAGCGGGTATTTTGATGTCGAAGTTGAGATAAGCCCCCCCCAGGTTCTCGGGAGATAGACGACCTCTCGTTCCCTAATTAGTTAGAATGATTACATAATAAGCGCATCATTGAAAAGGAATCGAGATCCGTATTATTCAGAACTCAATACTAGTATAATAATACGATTTATCAATAAAAGGGGTCTGAAGATCTAAATTGCTAGTGACTATATCACTGTCGAGTGTAATTTAGCGGCTTCTACCAACCGTGTTCAAAAGTTGAGAGACCTCAAACTTTCTTTACTTCTTTTGGGAAATTTTACAGCAATGTTATCCTTTGCTGTCACAATATCACGCATGGACATAAGAGAGCTTTGATATCGTTATATTACTTGTTTTCGACGATCTTACTTAGTGTAGCGATTTGTAGACGAAATTGTAAGTATAGAGGTTTCGTCTCATGAAGGAATTGAGCGCCTAACTATCATATCGGAAACATTTCCTTGATTGTTTGGACGAAAACCGACTATTCTGATAGGCCAACGCGTTGAATGTTCTTAGTATTGATATCACAAGGTGATTCTCACTTTTGCTAAAATGTTTCTCTAGTCGTTTTTCCTTCGCTATTGGGATAGAAATCAGAGTTTTTGGCAGAGTGCAACACGTTGTATCGATGAAAGTCTTAAAGGTTCAAGAAATCCGCTTGTTTTGCGCGCGAGACAATCAAGAGAATTCTCTTCAAGAGTTTCATGAACAATCAAAGTTGTATGTTTGTTGCATGAGATTGGCAGCTGAACGTAGTTCAAATAGCAATGCCCTGACTACTGATACGAAAGGACAAGAGGACTTGCATTTTGAGTGTATTTGCTTGTGTGGAACGACGAACTGATCAACATAATGATGTTGATCTAGGAATCGGAATATGAGGAGTACTTTCAGTCTAGTACCGCCGTAGATAGAAGTTTCCAAAAAGTCGTCATGTGAAGCATTGTATGCTTCAGGTGAGATTCAGTGATTTTTTCTACTAGATCACAAGATCTCATCTTCAACCCGAGGATTCTGTGACTATTTTTAAGACCACCAAGAAAGTATGTAGTTTTTTTGTCGTATTCCTCTGTCTCTGTTACGGGATTGAGATCGCATCACCGGCACATATTTCTTGTTGTCTCTCAACCACATCCATCGCTGGCCAGAAGTGAGTTCTGTCATACAGATGAGAACTTTAAATGTCCATCGGAACTTTCGGATGAATATGCGAGGCAAACAAATAGTGACAGGTGCCAAAAACCAATTAATTTGAGGCAAAGCTTATAACTTGTATTTTGACGTTTTGATTGGAACAATTCGAGGAATTCGCAGATGCAAAACGAAGGGTTTGCAGGCGTTCAGTAAGAAAAAGAAAAAAAGAAAAAAAGAGTAGACCGGAAGTGGGAGATGAGATCAAAAAATGAGGCACGATTCAATAGTACAAACGAGAGAATGGTGAATTTGTCCTACGGTAGGTAGAAATCGTCAAGATGAAAAAAGGGGGGCTAGAAAAATTAATGGTAGTTGTTCCCAATCGTGGCTTGCACCCCTGTTTCAATTGTACCCGAAGCTTCCATAATGGAATATCTAGAAAGTCCGAAAGTCGATTAAGTTTGCTCGCTGCGGCACTTCACCCTGGAAATTGTCAATATCGAGAATTTCCGGAGAAATTGTGTGCCAACCCCATCATGATATTGCATGATTCGACATGATATCTCGCTAGGACCAGGGGTAAAACTCCTAGACTGCGATTATGTGGGGTTAAGTCCAAAGCTAAAATATCTGAAACCTTAGAACATGCAATTCAAGCAATCTGTACTCGTACGTACGAGAGAAATGGGTCGGGCTAAATGACTAAGAAATCAGTTAATATAGGATATTCTTGTTTCATACGAAAAGTGAGGGCCGAGGAGCGTTACCGGCATGGATTTGTGTATTGATCTGCAAGCATGAGGTCGTCTGAAGAATGGGATGAGGACACTGCAATAATACCGAGGGGAACGTGCCATCGTTCCCGGGAGAGCCACATGACAATGAACTTTGGTACTTTGTAATTCCAGCTCCACTGCCAGGGCTTTGATCTACATCAAGAGAAGAATGGGGGAGTTGGTGGACCTGATCATCCTGACTAAGGTTTCTACTTAAGGTTTAATCTAAGATTATAGAAGTTTATGCGGAATGGTTCCAGAATTTTTAACGTTTTTTGATGGGAAGAAGGTGCGAAGTAGATTCTTTCCGTATGATTATTGATGTCTACGAAAACACGTGCTGATCATGTGACCTATTTGTAGATAGTGTCTGTAGACTTTTTTGTGTAGGTATGTTTCTTATTTGACCTCTAGGTGCTACGTGAGAATGTCTTACAGCGTTCTCTTCACTTCTCCTACAGGGACGCTAGTACCAGTGACTATTGTACGGAATACATGAAAGACTACTTTATACCCAGGTAAGCCTACCACCCTACTCTTTTACATTGCTTGAGATATCTTCTATTCACTGTATCAAATAGAAATATAATCTCTTTCTGTTGAATCAGAAAGGGGGACGCGGGTGAGCCGTACAATGCTTAGAAATGTTGATCCCCTTTTTAATTTATCCAAAAGCTTGACCTCAAGCTTGTTTCGTCAACCAAGATAATCAGACAGAACAGTTACATGGTTATCGCTGGTGGTTAGATTTTGTAATCGATTCTTTAATTATCTTCTATAACTACCATCGATTATATTGCTTTCTCAATTTATAACTACTACTTACTATAATCAACGGAGGGTTTTCTGGCTCGGAGTCCCATCAAACTAGCCTATTTCATACCTCGTTGTTATCAAGAAATGAAAAAAAAGATGGAAAAAGCAATTATGGTCAAAACAGTCCACATTTACGTTCATACGGGAACGTGCATTGAGGCGATCTAGGGCATGAAGTGCCGGGACCAGAGCAGCATCTAGGGGTTCGAAGCTTGATTTGAGAGCTAAAGCTCGGTAAGCTTTTAGCGCCTTCTGCAGAGCCTTCAATTGCATAGGGCAACAAGTGTAAAGGCTCGGCGTAAATTAAGTTGCGCTCTTAATGGTACAAGATTAGAAGGGTAACCTAGATAAGCTCGAAGCGAAGTACGATCAAGCTTTGTTGGGATGAGACACCATAATATCGGCCAATGAAATGGAATGGTAAGTGCCGCCAGGTTCAAAATTGATTGATTGAATGCTTATTCTTTAAATAAACATCTAGAACAGTGTTTGTCGAATCTAGAATCTTTCATAATTCTGGGAATGCTGCGCCGCCTAGTCGAGAAGTAGTTTGGTTCTCCTAGGTGGAAAAACGACGCTAAGCCCCCTTTCTCATAGTCCACGAGACATTAATGGTTAGTTGCACTCAACGACTGCGGCTTGAAACCGTAAAGCTTTCAATAGTTCGCGAAACCGTTATTCAGAGGTTGTATACCCCAACATTGCCGAGCTAGCGTCGGCTGTTACCCTAGCATGAAAACTTAGCGGAAGTTTTTCTTTCAATCATACATTCGCTGTCATAAATTGTAAACGAACAGCAATGGCTAGGATATGACTGAGGACTTTGGATTGCCATTTAAGGCATTCATCTATTAACTTAATTAGAATTTGATACTTTTCAGAATACGCTGAAGAAATACGAAAGTTAAATAAATTATACTCTTCTCATTCTAGTGAATGGACATCTTGCTTGTCGTCCGATAGGGTGCTTGAGATAGCGTTGCCCGTCTTCCGTAAATGATTTTGTACCTGTCTACCTTTTCAAACGTAGTGAGGGATTTTTCAGTATTGAGAGATATTCAATGAATCTATAATCTCGTAACCTAGTAGCTGCGCAGGGAAAGTAAGCAAAGACCGTTGATGACTACCTACGAGTGCGAGATACCTCCATTTCGGATTTCAAGTTTTCCTATAAGTAGGAAGCGTATTCCCATTTCTTATTCTTTCTTCACACACTTACTCAATCTTCAACCAGTATACACTCAGACCAACACACTCACTAACTTCATTGAAAATGATCTATCCAACAAGCCTCGTCGCTCTTTTAGCCAGCACGGCTTTCGTGTCTGCAGCTCCAGGCTCCGTAAGATTCCTTATTCCACTGATGGTGTGAAATATATGCTGAAAATCCCTTCTTCAGTCCCTAGAGGCTCTCGAAAAGCGTGTTGCTTGCACATTCACCACCGCCGCCGCCGCTATAGCCGGAAAGGCTGGTTGCACTACTATCACCTTGAACAATATTCAAGTTCCAGGTGGCACCACTCTTGACTTGACTGGCCTTCAAACCGGTACACAAGTCATCTTCCAAGGAACCACCGGGTGAGTTTTCCCTCTTGCAATCTACGAAATAAGCCTAACAACATTTCAGCTTCGACCATTTCAAGTGGGCTGGTCCTCTTCTCTCCATCTCCGGGAAAGATATTAAAGTCACCGGAGCGGCAGGACACGTGATTAACGGAAACGGTACATTGTATTGGGACGGACTTGGCTCTAATGTCAAGCCCGTGGACAAGCCTAAGTTCTTATTTGCTCACTCATTGACTGGATCTTCCAGTATCACTGGTCTAAAATTCCTCAATGCGCCTGTTCAGTGTATTTCAATTGATTCATCTGTTGGATTGTCACTTGTTGATATTACCATTGATAACTCTGCTGGAGACAAGGGTAGTCTTGGTCACAATACCGATGGTTTTGACGTCGATTCCAGTCAAAACATTTATATCTCCGGAGCAATCGTCAAAAACCAAGATGACTGTATTGCCATTAACTCTGGTAGTGTGAGTGTTATCCCATTCTCCAACATCATCGACTTTGCTGATCAGTAATAGAACATCACTTTCACCGGTGGAAACTGCTCTGGTGGACATGGTCTCTCCGTCGGTTCTGTCGGTGGACGAAGTGGTACTGGAGCCAACGACGTCAGCGACGTGAAATTTCTCTCTTCCACCGTTACAAATTCCCAAAATGGTGTTCGAATTAAGACTGTCAGCGGTGCCACGGGTACGGTCAAAGATGTCACTTTCCAGGATATCACCCTCGTCGGCATCACCGGGGTTGGTATCGATGTTCAACAGGATTATCAAAATGGCAAGCCAACTGGTACACCCACCAATGGAGTTCCAATTACTGGATTGACTGTGAACAATGTTCATGGTACCGTTTCTGGTGGCCAGGATGTTTACATTCTTTGCGCAAATTGCTCAGGTTGGACTTGGAATAAGGTTGCTATCACAGGTGGAACGGAGCTAAAGAAGTGTGCGGGTGTTCCTACGGGAGCTTCTTGCTAAGCTTGGAACTTTTCCAAGCAAATCGGTGGGAGAAGTCGTGGCTGCTGAGAATGGTTGATAACTATTGACTTACTAGGAGGAGGATAGTGTGATGGGGCTTCTTGAGGGATATTTCGGTGATCTTTTATAAAAATCTTTTTATATGTGGCTGTCAAATACTGGACAGATAACCACGGAGGACAGTTGCCTCTATATTTTAGAACAGGCTTCTGTCCATATTATTTTCACACATCATTTATACCATATTTGTGATTTCTCCTGTGATTTCTCTCCAACGTCCTGATTTTTCAACGTCTGCTTGATGACGGAGCTGGATCTTCGTATTTGTAAGTGCAGAGCTACCTTTTGCTGTTTATCTCTCCTTGACTTAAAAAGTTATTATGATGTCATAAAATTATGTTAAGCTCTTGTCTTTTATTAAACCAAAGTCCACACCAAACTTTGCAATCTTCAAGCATCACAAGAGAAGAGCGAGGTTCTGTTTGAAAGATCACCTTCCCAGCTTGAATGTCATCAAACATTAACGAAAACTCAGGATTAAATCAATTTCATTTGAAGAAAATAGTGTGAAGTACCAAAATAATAGTCCGAACCAGAGAGACTGTAAGTTACATAAATTAGTTTCCTATCTTACCATCTGCAATCGTATGCCCATTCATCGTCGCAACCTACCCTTGCTTCTTCATAGAATCGAAGAACCATCTCTCTTCAGCTGTCTTTACACAAACTCAAAATGATGTTGACAAAAGTCATCAGTGTTGTCCTCGTAGCAGGTATGAGTAACTTAATTTCATCATCAAATTGTTCATTCCTCAGATCTTATCATAATAGCTGCTGACGTCGTATCACAGGCAGCTTTAGGTGTAGGTCGACAGACGGGCTACGCATTTACAGAAGCTGGTGCGGTCACTGTAGTATTTGCAGATATAGATTCCGAAGGCACCAAAACCAGCGCAGAGAAGAGTGAAAAACTTGCGGCGAATTCTAAATATCAATATTTTGCTGTTCAAGTTGATTTTGCGGATGCAGATGGTATTAAATCGATGGTTGATTGAATGGTAGAGAAATTTGGTAGGATTGATTATGTTCTTCATAGTGCTGGCGTGAGTCCCAATCTCTCTGCAATTTCTTGTTTCTATTGCTCTTGTTTCGCGCCTAAAAATATCCTCTAATCGTATTCTAGCTAGAATCTCCTCTCTTAAGCCGACCTCTGACGTCTATACCGCCAATTTTGACCAAAATAATTCCGTTAATAACCGCGAAACAGTGCCCATCACACGAGCAGTAACTATAGCTATATATATAAACACAGAAGCCTCTCACGACTCAAGGTCGCCATGGCGATGAACGCAGTCTAGGTCGATAATTTATTGTATATATCGCAAGTGCGTTCATGTGTATTGCGACGCCGGGAATTATAATACATATTGCTGTAAAAATTCATAATAAGTTTATTAAATCACTTATTAATATCTTACTAATTAAGAGATATCTTAATAACTAATATATGTATAACGTGTTTTATTAGTAAGTAATTCATATTAATGAATAGATTACCTATTTTATATACAAAATTTGTTTATATATAATTATATACTTTCTTTATTTAGGAATATAATTTTCTGAAAATTTGATATAAAATATCTGAATATATAAAATTTTTAAAAATCTAATTAGTTTTGAGAAATTCGAATTTATAAAGTTGTTATTATAGAAATAGTTTTTTTGTAATGAAAATTGTAATAATTTCCTTTTTTTTAAGAAAATAATGATTGGTTATTAAAATATTAATATTTTAAGAAGCTTGATTTAGATGATTTTCGAAATGATCTATTTACTGATATGAATTACTCACTGATAAAACACGTTAAAATTATATTATTGTCACGGCGCCAACTACATGTTCTGTAGTTGCCTTCGTGCCTCAGGCATAAACCACTAGCGTGCCCTACTTCTTATAAGTAGGGCCTCACTCTTTCATAGCTCTTCTACTCTTATGGTACAATATAAGTCTTTACCCGTACCTTGACAATTATTATATAATTATATAATAATATCTCTTATCAAATTGATTTATAATAAAATAAAATGAAATGGAATCTATCGGGACAGGGATCATGTGATCGTACTAGCGCCTGCGCTAGTGCCTCGGCACTTTAGTATAGACGTATCGTAGCCCTAGCTTTTAGAACCTCAAGTAATATTATAACAGTGTGAACCATAGTACTATATTGTCTTCACCATCCCCATGGTAATATCAATAGAATCAAATGGAAGTATATGAAAGATTATTGTTAAATTAATTAAATTTGATTGATTGTACTTTCTTTTTATTATTTAAAATGATTCCATAAGATTTGATTTAAATCGATTTTATTTATAAGCATAGAAAATACTAGAATTTCATTATAAAATATATAAACCTAGGATATTCTTTAAATAGAATCTAGAAAAAGTAAGCAATTTCATCTCAATTCAGCCTAGCTCTTATAAATTGACTTCAATTCAACTCTTATATATATTCGATTCGTCCCTGAGTCTAAATTAACTAGATCTTCTACTATTATTATAATAATAATTATTCTTATTATTATAAATTATAACCTCCAATAATTGCTTTCAAGAATGCGATGATGGGAATTATTAAAGTTGCTACTATGTTTACTCATCTTATATATCTACCATATAGAGTCTTGTGCTTGAGATTTCGCAACTAACATAAACCAAGCACTCGATAACGCGAAACGCGAGATCCGCATAAATGCACGCTGCCCAACTTGGAAACTAACATCATTGTTGTAACATAGTATACGCCGATGGAAGGAACTCGAAGCAGTTATTCAAAAAGCTTAACTGGCAGGAAGAGCGGTTACAGCAGGAGAACTGGCGAATTCTTAAGTTTTTATGTGCAGTCCATCTACTAGTCACGTCAATGGATCGTTATTGATCGTTGATACTAGTATGACAGTCATGGTCCATATTTGAGAGATGTAACGGGAATATGAGAGTCTGGGAATTGTAATTGACTACCCTTGAGATTTCGGGCAAGGGAGGTGAATTAAATTGTCTCTGTGTCAGTAGTTTGCTTATGGCTATGAATCAACACATGACATCTCAATTTCATGATACCCTGACTGAATGGCGAACGTGAAATCTAGGATATCTCGATCAATATATTCAAGTGCAACTTCCTCCCGTGTTAACTCCATCATCTTCTACTCTTTTAATCTTTTTATTCTCCATTTATCCCTTTCCTATTCGGAAGTCACTGCTAAGCTGTGTCTTCATTCACGCAGAATTACTCTTTTGAAATGACCACACTATCTCTATGCCAGCTACAGTATTAAGATCTCCAATTTCACAAATATCGCCTCTGTATCTTATGCTACCACTCTGGACCTGAATAATAAGCTTACTTGCCCGGATTGTTCTTCTGGGTGTGAAAGAAAAGATAAAGTCGAACTTTTTAACTGTCGAGGTTTTATTTTTGTCAAACTCTATCAGGTGTTTGGACTGGTGTTGTTACCGTTGTTTTTCAAAAACTTTTGCTGTTCATATTCGGCTGACTAGATTCTTGTAAATAACTGATAGTTTTTATGTTATACTTCAGAAGCTGGGGGCTTGTTGTAAATACTCAAATCTTCAAGAATCCTAGGGATGGTCTGAGTATTTTGGCAAGGAAGAGAGTTATGATTGGCAAAGTTTCTCTCTGATTCTCTGCGCTTATCAGGTATTCTCTCAAAGTGAAAGAGTCTCATAGTCAAATACAGAACACTTCTACCAAATCCTCGAAACAATATACTTTGAAACCAAGTTTTCGCCTCTCCAAGTTAGCTGATTGTTTTACCGGTAGAAACTATTGCATGTTTACGATTACTAGTCTGAGTTTTGATGATATAAGCCGAGGGAATTTCTTGAAGAAATTATTTTTGGCGTTTTCGGCATGAATGAATGACAAAATTGGTACAGGTTATCATCTGGACTTTCTCGTCGCCTCGCATAGAATTTCTTTTTCGTTGTCATTTACCATCTGGCAAGCTCGTCAAGAATTATTCAGATGCTAACATTACTGCTCATTCTCTTGACTACAAACATAACAACTTCGCAACCCGTATTTTCCCTGAAGATACCCTGTGCACTCAATATCAACCACTTCCATCAACTTTCGCTGTCTTTAAGCGAAGTCGTGTAGCTCCAATACCATATTCTATGTCAAAATAAAACTGATCGAACTCTTCATGAGATTATAACCTCTTCCAGTTTGAAGGCAGAGCACACTGAGATTCATTGTCTGTTGTCGCAGTGGAGATACTGAGGGGTAATAGTGGATCCTCCCCGTTTGCTTAGCGAGGATGCCATTTTGCCAAGAAATTTACGGGTCTTCGGAGATAGTGTAATCACTAGGTACCTAACTATTGAAGGGGTTTTCCGGTTCTTTGGTTCTCATTCAATAGTTTATCCAGAAAATCAGCGAATTTCTTTTGGGAGAGTGAATGAGCAGCCAATTCTTTTCCACATGACCACATGAGGTTTGTCCATTCAGGTTTCAAGGGTTCCCGAGGTTGGGCTATGAATAACAGTATTGACTGCAGACGACTTATAATTAATTGAGTGATAGTACAAGGTGAAGAACAAAGTCTTTTTGGGAAACTTTTACATCAAGCTGAAGACAATTATACACCTGATCGTCTCACCAACTTCACATTGCAATCTCCTAAGCAATGTTCAGATTTCTAGCCAACGTCTAGTAATCTTTTCACATCTCAAAATGTTGGTTTTCATCCGTTGTCATTCTTTTTATTAATTCGAAGGTGCTGTCGTTCCACTGCTCTCATGTCCTTTCATTCGCCATCGGGACCTCGAGGTCTCGAGTTTCATGAGGGAAAAAGAAGGCACGATCTTTTTATGTGCTCTTAAAACTCTTTTTCTTTAAAATTGACATATGTAGCTGAATTCACTTGCTTGTTATGAATTTAACCGGACAGAAAACTGGTAATAATTGTTCTGGGACTAGCTGATGTATTTTCGACGGTCTCTATTGCAGAGCAAGGTATAAGATAGCAAGATTTGAGGAGGGGCTGGAGAGAGTAGTGATGTAAGTGTAGTCTGCGGTCACCTGCTAGCAGACTCCTATACACAGACGGAGAGAAAGTTAGCCAAGCAGGCGGAAAAGTGACCAGAAACTATGAATGTAAAACCGCGTCACAAGTATCTGGTTGTCGCTGAGCTGTTTTCGTGTTCATTAGAGTTGAAGAGTTGGCCCTCACGTGTGGAAGAATGAAATGACAGCGGGGGGGACAAAACATGGAGTCAACGGCGAGCTTTTTTTGGTACATTCTATCCATCTCGAAACTACCAAAGATCTCAATTGGGTCGCTGTCTCTTTCGATTTTTCCCATGGGTCATAAACCCGTGTGAGCATGAGGTACAACAGGGGCAATGATATCAGATTCTAGGACAGATCCACCCCTACACGGACTTGTGCCTCCGGTAAGCTGCTGCGAAGCCCTTTGTTTGTTTGATCAAATTGTTTTTGCCTCACTCTCTTAAATAACTCTCAAATGTTAGTTGGCGATCTTCAATCTCAGAACTTTCAACAGCTAAACCATTCACTGATATGTTCTTCAATCACATGTTCAATAATAAGATCATTTACTGGGATTAGAAGACTCAACGATTCATTCATATAAAAAAATAGGAAATAACTATCCCTTCTCACAACCAAGTAAAACGGCTATTAGGCTATTAAGCGACATAGACATGATTGTACTTTTAGTGGCACAGCGCATAGGGTGCTTTATATACTTCTCGCTTGACCAAACATTCTTTTAACCGCAAGAGAAGAGTACTTGAACGTCGACAGATAGCTTGTGAGTTCATGTCGTAATATCTGCGCAATTGTGACTACCGTGAACCGTGGCTTTCGATGCAAAATCTCCATCCGTAATTCTTATTGCCGTCAGAGATCTCATAGGTTCCATTGTTTCGATAATGATTAATAGAATCAAACGATAGCTATCAATCAGGTCATGAAATGACAAAAATAAGAATATAGATTGACAGTTAATCTTCGGAACTCGTTAGACTAAGTGATCTTTCTTTGTCATTGAATGAGTGCTTCGATTACAGTCTTTTATAGTTCAAACAGCCACAAACAAATCTTTGAATCAGCTCGCCATGAACGTCCCCTGTTACCAAACTCTTTTTCGAACACATAAGACTTTTTCCTAGATAGATAGAGATAATTTTATATTAAAAAAGTCGTAAAATCATATATCTAGTCGATATGTTACTAGTAAAGTAGTCTCCCGAGTGATAAAAATAGTGTATATAAGAGAGGCGTCTTTTAACGACTCAAATCTTTCTATTATTTACAAGTAAGCAACACAGAATGAGGTTAGAAACATGTCGGTCATTGAGCGACGACCACTTTGTCGTTTCCGAGCCTACAAATATCTCCAGTTTAGGCAGTCCAGGCATAAAGTGCAAGGTTAATTGCAAATATTCGTTACAGAAGAAAATCTGCTGTCTGATTCGGAATAGATTTCTAGAAGAATGTCAATATCAATCGTAATTTTATGGCAGTAAAGATATCGAAGACAACCTAAGCAAAGATTTGCAGAGAAACAGAAATTTCTCGCAATACAATTCCCTACAACTAATTTAACGTCGGATCTATTACACTGACAAACTCTAGCATACATATTGGAGATTCTTGATATATAAAACATTATCTTCTCTTCATGTGCTTTATTTCAGAGATGCACAGTCCTCTGAGTCCTCCTCGCAAGCCAAAAAAAGTGATCATCAAAGATACTAGCACTGCGCAATGATAACCCTTGAAATGAAAAGAGGTTAGTGCTAGGCTCAGTTGATATTTAGTTGCGGTAATTCAAGCGAGGAAATGATTTTCAGTGAATTTGCTATTATTCCATGGGTCATGCGGAGCAAAATGGAATAAGGAGGCTGGAATCAATTCGAGTCCTGATTGACATGAGCCGTGATCATCAAATTCACCTCGTAGCTACTCGGACTCTCATGGCTTGTTGGCTTCTGAAAGTAACCAAAATTGCAATATCAGATGTTTTGTCTATATAAACTCTTACAAAAGAGTGGGAAGACTCCGAAACTAGGATCCGAAACAACATCCGCCGAGAAATAGGGAAGTCGATCTGAGCTATGGCTGTCCAAGGCACATTGAGCGTGCTTTTAAAGTCTTCTTTAGAAGGGAATTTGGTCGAAGAACGAGCTGCAATGTCAAAAAACACGGCTTGATTGGCCGAAGTTCAGACGAAAGAGGCAGTGGTAGTATTGACAGCGATAGACAGATACTTGCTGTCATAAAACCAACGAGTTTTATGGTAATCTCACCTATCTTTCCAAGCTTCTTTCGCAAGAAGACAGCAGGACTACATCTTATTGTTCACACAAAACGAATGCAACGAACAAAGGCCACTTTATTTCCATCTCGATCTCCTCTTCCTCTTCCTCAAATACGTTATATGAGATTCTCTTGAACCTGTCTCCTGGACTCCCGCATGCCTTCGAATATGCCGTAATATTTTTCCTGAAGTTCAGCCAATCTTTGATCGCTCCTTTCGATGCTAGATCCAATGCAGATTAATTTGGTTGAAGACATCAAGCTGGGATTTTAGAGGCTTATAAGCTCACAGCATAATTTTCCCATGGTTCAGCTCCACCTTCTCACCAGCCCTTCTTAGCTTCCTATCATCGGGTGGATACATTTTCTAGAGGATTCACTCATTCACACTTGATCCCAGTCTGAATAGGACCTATCCATTTAGTGTTCTGCAGGGAGCCTACTGAAAGGATGATCCATACATGTATATAAGTTCTTGCTTCTTTTCTCATTCTATGATCTTTAAACTAACTAAACACACGTATTCCCACGGCTGATGGCGAAGTAATTTGATAGCACACGAGAAAGTTACACATTTACAATATTATGCGTTGAGAGTGATTGTTGCTGGACTGGGCGTGAATAAGACATTATACCTTGATAATTGACAGTAATGGAGAAATTGATAACCATCCGAGACTAAGTTCGACAACACTGCAAGCCAGCTCTACCCTTCTCACCTTCCAGAGAAATGATATCAAACAACTCTCAATATAGGAAATACAGGAGTGACACACGAAACGATATCACTACACTCTTGGAGGTTAGCTTTTATAATAATAAGGAATAATATTATTATAATGATAGTAGAAGATCTAGTCAATTTAAGCTTAAGGGACAAATCGAATATATATAATAAGAATTGAATTGAAGTCAATTTATAAGAGCTAGGCTTAATTTGAATGAAAATTGCTTACTTTTTTCTAGGTTTTCTTTAAAGAATATCCTAGGTTTATATAGTTTATAATGAAATTCTAGTATGTTCTATGCTTATAAATAAGATCGATTTAAATCGAATCTTATAATATCATTTTATAATAAAAAAGGAAAGTATAACCAATCAAATTTAATCAATTTATCAATGATCTTCCATATGCTTCCATTTGGTTCCATTCCATTCTATTCCATTATAAATCAATTTGATAAGAGATTCTATTATATAACTATATGATAATATAATTTTATAATATAAAATCATATTATATATATATTAGTCATCAAGATATCTCTTAATTAGTAAGATATTAATAAGCGATTTAATGGGCTTATTATGGATTTTTCACATACACAGTTTAGTGGGAGCAGCTACTTTTGAAATTTTATTGATGAATCAAGAATCTTAAAATCGACGAGCTTTTAATCTGCGCATATTTCGCTTACACTTTTTTTTAAGCCAGGAAGGCAGTTATTGCTCATTTCCCTGATTTATTAATCCGACAATATACGTACATGATTTTAGTAAATCTTAGTTCTTGGACAGATAGTATTTCCCTCTGATCCCTAAGGATTCCGACCAAGTCATGGAATCCACATCTCACATCCCATCGCTTTCATATCTATTCACCTCTAACTTCCGCCTACTCACTATCTATCGACAGTTCCGAAACTTCCTGCATCATTTCTTTGAAATACATATATATACATCTATGCGTAACACTCCTCTCATCTCTTTATCCCGCTGAAGATCAAATCTTCCACTTTGCGGAATTTGCCGTACAAAGGAGGGGGGGGGGGGGGTGCTTTTTTCAATCAAAGAACGAGTACTATATCATCGAAACATGAATCTCGTGGCAAGGTGGCAGGTTTTAAGTAAAGATTTCAACAGCAAAAAGCACAAAATTGCTTGTGAGCTGACAATAAAAAATGAATAATCACAAAGATGACAACCAAGTTCCCCTCCCAGAAGCTGGCGAGGTATACGCATATCACTCCTCCATCACAACTTCGGATTATTTTTCTTCGATTCTAAGTCTTGCTCCTCCATCTCTGCCAACTTCATCTAAAACATTATCTCAATGAGAACAGCTAATCGATGATTTCTATTGGCTTTCGCCTGGACCTGCCGCGACTTTTGTTTTCTCATTCTCTTTCATTTCCATCGCTGTAAGGTAAGGAGTTGTACCTTGATATATATGCTGCTCTATCGGCTTTAATCTATTCAAACTCGTATCGAAACACCATTCATTCACTCATCTACTTCTATGAACCCTACCAATTTAATGATTCACACCACTCTCTCACGTCTTCTCATCTCCCTTCCGCCCCCCACTTCGTGAATGTGGATAGTGCCGTTACCTGCACCTCTCGCGCTTATATAAACTTAAACTTCTCATCCTAATCAGACATATTTGACAACCATTGAATTGTCGATGAAAATTTCATGACACAAGGCAGATATATCAAGTATGGAAGCAGAATTTTTCAAGTTGATAAGATTATATCCCTGAATTGACAAGATGGGTAGAGGTCAAAAACCGTAGAATTGATTGGTCCTCCAATTGGTAATATCGAGATCATACTGAAGAATGACAATAAGAACGAAAAGCGACAGTAAATAGGGGCTGTTATGATTTTCAAAGGAAGATATGTATCGGAAGAGAGTCTTTCGACATTAAGCAACCCTTGTACACTAAGCATTTTCGCAAAACTCCAGTTTCCTCATTTGAGCTATTTCTCTCAATAATCACCGTCACATTTTTACATCCATCAAGGAAGAAAGTAAACCAAGGGTGACAACTGAGGACACTCCCGAAATCCCTTTCCCTTATATATCTTTGCTCCTTTTTGGTCACCGTTATCAAATTCAAATCCAAGCCCAGGTGAAGTTTATATAAATCCTCAATCTTTTCCCCTACAGATTCAAAACCCCTGTTTCACTAATCTCAACCCCTCTACATGCACGATCTCACATTCATTGTTCTGATATCCGGCTCCCGTTTGTTCACCTCGCTTAAGTCAATCCCCTCATCCACTACTCGTTGAGATCCACTAGTATTATATCACAAGCGACAAAAGCAATCCACTGAACCCTATATTAACTCCCTCTAAACTCTGAGTTTGCAAATCATAAACAATAACGTCCGCTGCAGTGTTTAGACAAGGAACGACTCCTCGAACTAGCGACGTACCAAGCTAATCGAGAGGTGTCTGCAGATAATGAATTCCGATCTTCAAGTCATAGAGTAGGAAATTAAGCAGATATGGAGGACCATGACGCATTAATATGACAATATTGACAACATTGACAACATTGACTACACGGTGAATACCCCAAGATATTATCATCATCACCCCATTCCAATCGAAAACTTCTAACGTTGATACTCGAAACCGCTTCTCAAATTATCTCTATACTTCATCTTCCAGCTAAATCTAAAATCTACAGCCATATTCACATCTAAGCTCTCTCCCCACACTCCCAGCATTCTCACAAGCACTCAAATATTCCTGTATGAGGATATGATGAATCATTTCATATCTTTTCAGAAAAGAGAAGAAGCACGTAGATAACTGAAGAATGGTTTCATAACCCACCCGTTCTAGGACAATTCCACGGAGGGAGATTCAAGATCTCGCAACAATAAATGGGGTGGTGATAATTCACCAATCTAGTGTCCACAACCATCCAAATACCCCTCTTTCCTCCCCGAGTATCCTCCTCGTTCCCACTATTCACCTCATCAACTCTTTCTTTACCTTGCTAACCCTTGTGAAGTCCATCTCCTTTCCTACCATACCATCTCCCTCCTTCGTACAAATCTCCCCCACTACTATAAATATCTCTCCCTTTTCCACTTACTACCTTTACGACTCATTTTCGTAGAAACAAAGATGGGAGGGTGAGACTCTCTCTGCTCCGTTGATTCACAGTTCCACAGATAGACTAATGCAGAATGATTCTTCCTCTCATTCCCCATCCCTGAATCCCAATCCCATCATGAAAATTTCCGTATAATCGCATGTTTTATCACCATGAGTGCAAGAATTGACATTCAAGAAGAAACATCAGATGAGACCCCAAATATCATCTAAAAAACTCATATTATAACAATGAAAAACACATATCATCAGCCCTCAACCACGAAATCTCCCTCCCCCTCACAAAGATAAATCCTGCTCTCCCCTCTCTCGCACTAAGAAAATAGTTACTCTTCCACCCTTCCACACAAGAAAACACTCTCACAAAGGTTCGCCCACCATCACCCCAATGTAGACATTTTCAATCAGTGTGCGAGTTCTCTCCAAGTAGCAAATACTCCCAAGGGATCTAGAAGTCTATATACCCCTTCCTCTCCCATCTCCTCTAACTATCCCTCTCAAGTTTCTCTGTGAATCACCAACTTGGAAAACAATCACTCGCACATCATTCAATTTCCTCTTCCCTCCATCCACTCCCTCTTTCTCTTCCTTACAAGGCCCCCGGACACTTGAAGAGAAATTCAAAGTGATCAGCCATCCAATTTCACTATTCATATTCAATCTCTTCTTGCAGAGCCACTCATATTTCGATCTACTAAAATTCAAGATTCAAGACTTTTTAGTATCACTATAGTTTTCGGATCACAATCTGATCAGCTCGTTTATCTTCTTTTCCTAATAGCTCTCTTATGTCTTTGATTCAGAGTTCTGATTCACTTTTACTAACACTAATATTCTCTGCTCTTCCTATTTACCCCTCTTTTCTCCCCTCTACCTTTTCCTTTTGAATTCCCCTCGCTTAATCTCCCTTATACCCTCCTCCGCCACTATATCAACACCCTTACTCCTCTCCATCACCCACGAATCACACAAACAAACGATCCAGCAAAAAAACAGACCATCCTAGGTTCGATCTCATCTCTCATGTAGAGATATCTTCTCTACTATAATTTATAAATACTTAAACTCGCGTTCCTCTCGCCCTTTCCATTCTCATCACTATCCCTATCTACAACCATCCGATCTATTCATCTATCACCTATCCATATAGTAATCTTACATACAGTACAAATTCTCATCCCCAACCATCCCATCTCCAACCATCCGATCTATTCATCTATGATCTATCTACACATTTATTGACAATATCCCAATATCTCAATATCCTATAATTATTATCATCCATCAGACCATTCAATTTATATCAGTCGGTTCCGATATTATTATTATCTGCTATCCTATTCTATTTATCATCCCATACCAATTATCATTATCCCATAGCATTACCATCCACCATCCAATCCCATCCCAACATTCCTCTTCCTGATCAATCATTGCCCTACCATTCCCCTATCACACCCCTATCACATTATGATTATATAAGAATTAAAAACAACATAACAAAATCAGAATATCTCCAAAAAAAACAAGCACAGAAATCATCCCAGAAATCATCCCAATATAATCCCAATATAATCCCAATATAATCCCAAAAATCATTCCAAAACCGTCCCGAAACCCATCCCAACATAATCCCAACACAATCCTCACCTCTCGTATCTCACTTCTCACTTCTTCATCTCCATTTCCATTTCCATCTCCATCTCCATAACATCTTCATCTCTATTCCACACTACTACATCTCCATCTCCATGTAAACAAGAACACAAACAATAACAAGAATACAAACAATAACAAGAATACAAATAATAACAAGAACAATACAAATATATAGATTCAATTCAATTCAATTCAATTCATCACAATCTTTGCACCCAGCCCAGTATTCCAGTTTTCCGAATGGGGTACATATGGTATGATTAGTTCTATTGGATTGCTATTGATTTATTTCTCTATCCAACTAGCTAGGTAAATGCAACAATGTGAAAATGTAAGTCTCACAAATACTGAACAAATACTGATTAGAATATCAATACACATATATACCTAGTAGTGAAGACCAGATTCTTGCTAGCGAATTTATTGCTTTTTACCTTTCCTTTCCTTTCCTTTCGGCTTTAGGTATGCTTGGTGCAGAATTTGAGTATCCATGCATACATATAAGCAGATAGCACAAGCACAAGCTCTAGCACTCTTACCATCTTTAGCAAACGACCTCCACAAACCCCCTAGCCATCCCATTACATCCCATCATATCCCAATCCCACTCTCATCCATCCACTCCATACTCGCTCACCACAAGACCGCACTCAACATCTAACCCCCAAAACGCACAATCTCCCTGCAACTCTCTCTCTTTCTCCCCCTCTCCCAGCATCCCCCACCCATCCAAAACACAAACTAACTCTCAATCCCACCATTCTACACTCCAGCATCTTCACCTCTTCAACAACCATCTCGCAAAGTTCTGCCGTCTCTCTGCCCAGTAACTCTTTCCACGCCTTCTCACTCCAGACTAATTTCCCTCCATTGATCATTCCCGTTTCATCGATTAACATCGTGATGATTTTCGGATTCGTAATGAGTTGTAGAGATTTTCCGCAGTGCGGACATTCGAAATTGGGGGTGGGGGAGTAGAGTTGTATACCGCAGCTGTGTGTAGTGATAATTAGTGAGAATCTTTATCCAAATCCAATGCAAAAGGCAAGACAGAACCAGAAAGAGAAGAAGAAAGAAAACAAACCATTCCCCACAAAACAACATATTCCTCCTCCAAATCTTCACCAAGCTCAATTCTACCAACACAACACTAATCCACCCTGTGAAAGGCTCTCCCTCTCCTCCTCTAACCCACTCCTCCACATCCCTCAGTCCAAATAATGCCGTTCTAGGTCCATAAATTGCTTGCTCAATGTCCTCCTCTCCCCAAACTTCACTTGGAAATTCCACTCCTATACTCTCTTTCCTCATTAATACATTTGCCCATTTTCTCAGCCAATTGGCATCTGCAAATTCCGGTTCCACATCAACCATTGTATTTCTTCCCCAACCGATTATCCCTTTACCTCCATAATCAAGCTTATGTATCGGATTTGAAACTAGCAAGATAGTTTTTCCTGGTACCCATTCCTTCACACTCTCGATTAAATCCGACCAACATTTCATTTTCACCTCGCCAGTATGATCAAAGAAGACTACTTCGACCAAATCTGATTCCCCTCCATCTTTTTTGACAATCTTCTTCTTGGCTCCGATACTCTTCACACAAACGAGTAATTTCACATCCAGAACTCCATCATACCCTCCATTTAGATATGCTTCCAATGTCATGAGCCCAGGTAATGGTTCGCCCTTGATGTAACCGAGAGGAATACGACAGACGTCTGCAGCACCGGAATGAGTATGAATCATCAAGTGATCACTTGTATTGCGACCTGGGAATAGGTTTGCGCAAACGAGAATACCAGCTGTGGATGCACTGTCGGCTTTCGAAGTATCAGATATGAAGGCTGTCCAGATTGAGAGAAGTTGACCTAATTTGAGGGGGTAAGATTGGTTTGCGAAGTACAGTTTTATCTATGGGAGTTTAATGTCAGTTAGTGAGAACCTCTTTGGAAAATTTAGTGTAAAATAATGTGCATCGCAGTGGCGATCCAGTTCAGTGGCAGACAAGACACGAAAAGCAAATTGAACGCCACTTACCGAAACAACACCACCCTCTCCCCTAACACCAACATAATGCCACCCCCTAGCTCTTGGTTGTTTGGCACTTTTACCAATGATTGTCGCGAAACTGACAACTCTACCTATGAATGTAACTGCTTTTGGACCTAGAACATTCACGAGTTAGTAAATTCCTCGCAGAATGTGCTCACTGATTTTTATAAGTTTCTTTTCCGCTAGTCATTAGACTCCGCATAATACTATGATCCTCTGTATTCAAGAAACAACGTTGTAGAAATATCTTAAACGAAAAAATTCCTGAAGTATGATCCGCATTCTTAACCCCCCCCCCCCCCCCCCCCAAATACAGGAAAAGCATTCGAAAATACATACCAGACATCAATTCTCCCACTGTCATACTCTCATACTCTCTACTCGGATTCCACGTTTTAGCCAAAGGATCCATTGACTCATGTAATTCTTCTCCCTGTTATCACACCAAGTATATCAGTCATCAGACTCTCATCAATAAAATTTCTCCATCTCTCCATGGACCCCCATTTCCGCCTTTTTCATCTTTTCTCAAGCTCTCATTCTGGCCAGCGTCCCTCAACCACACACGGCAGATGTACCCTAATTCCACAAAGTTCAAGACATAGAATAAAATACAAACCCAGAAGATCTGAAAAGAGAAAATCTCCAAATATGAAAAAAAAGTCAAAATCCAGAATAGCTGCATAAAATTGATCAAGCTGATCAATTGCTTGTATGCACTCACCGTAAATCCATCTCCCAATCCATCTTTCCTGTCCCTCTCCGCTCCATCAATTTTTCCACCACCATCTCTACCAAACCCATCACTCATTTGATCCCCATTCCCATCTCCTCCCCTCTGGTCTCTCACCACATCCAACGCAGACGCTCCTTCACCCCCCTTAACCTCCTTTCGAAAAAAGCTCTGAATCGAAGGATATTGCGACGGCATGTTCTCCTAATATTTCTCCTAATATCTCTCCTCAATCTTAATTCCGCAAATCTCTTATCCAGCACCTTCCTCCAATTAAAAAATCAGCATAAAATCTCACACTTTATGTACCCATATAGGGAAGATCCCCAGCCCTCAAGAAGTCGACGATGAGAAAGGATACCTACCACACTCTCAAAGTTAGCAGGAAACGAGCAATCATCCACCTTACCCCTCAATCGCAATCGTAATAAACACACCACACCACTCACACATACATACACGACGCGCATCAGCCGAGGATACGAAGTAGAATCTCAACCCCAGCGAGCCGAATACACAGTATCCAGCAAATCCACACACCTCACAACTCAACACCCCAACTCAACACCTCCCCTCCCCTCACACCTCCCCTCCCCTCACAACCCAAACTCACACCTCCCCTCACACCTCAGCCCAACTCAACACACCTCCCCTCAAAATCACAGACCACGCGCCCCCAACGAGATCTCGCAGAATCTGATCTCGTGAAGAGAGATGGGGATAAGGAGATATCAAAGTCCAAATTTATCGAGATCTCGAATCATGCATCCATTCATTCTACCGTCGCGATATACCTCAACACCCTCGAGACACCTTCCTTGGCTTTGGACACTAATAGAAATCTGCTTGGATCACAATTTGATCAATGAGGATTTGATAAGTGCGAAATCAATTCAATGGAGTGAATGTTCCTTTTCAAAGACAAATGAGATGATAATTCGGAGATTTCGGGAAATCTGATAATCAAAGGTGAAGATATTCATTGGGATGTGAGACAAGTGTTCAGGCAATTCGCGCTAATCACCGTTTCCTCACTCCTTCCCCAACTAATAAATTCCCGGCACGAACACCAAAATGTATCAGTTGGGATCACTAAAAAAAAAAAAAACATGGGAGATTTTCACACAACTCAGAAGAAGAGTAACGTTTGAAGGTTTAATGTACTTCAATTTTTCGATAAAACTATTCTAGGTAATGAATGAATGCATGGTACTTAGGTATCACCATGAGGTCAATAAGAATAGTAAGCAATTCAAGAATCCATCGAAATCCCACCACCATGAAATTCGAACAATCCACAACTTCTGACCAAAGACACAACCTAATAAAGCTTGTGTTCCAAAGTCATGTCATTCTCTGGTTCGAGACCAACACAAGCACGGAAAATGTTAATCAAAGCACCGCGTTGCTTGGCAAGTGCATTAACGACTGGAGCTCCAGGTGGAGTCAAAGGTGCCTTGAGCATGTAACTGAGAATGCTAAGAACACTGTGGAAGTTTTTGTAATCCTTGGTGGTAGCACCATCAGTAGAATGTGCCTTCCATTGAATACGAGTCATCATCTCTGCAAGGACAACAAGATCAATGATCAGTGGTGAAGCAAGAAGAGAATCCTCGCAAACATTGAAGAGCCTATTTATGATTAGTAAGTTATAAGATGGACATTGTCTGGATAGTAACTTACGAAATGGTTTGATGACCTCCCATGAAAATCTCAGCATAGTACTCATCAAGGGCACGCTTGTTATCACCAACAGCTGGCATGTACTTGATAACAACACAATGATCAGGATGTTCACCTTCCTTGTAGAGAACGTTATTAGCAGCGACCATGTCATCGACAACATTGGATTTAGAAATCTCCTTGGAACGGAATTGCTTTTGAGAGCTGAGATTTTTTCCATCATTGTTACCAAGATGATTGTAACTGGAGATAGCAGTAAGCTTGATACCAGCACTGATCAAGAAGTCGACAAGAGCAGACTTCATCTTGGTTTGACCAGATTTGAAGTCATCACCACCAATGAAGGAGTTGTGCTTCTCTGCAAGCTCAATGCAACCAGGAACAAATGTGTTTTGTGGAGAACCGTTGATGAAAGGTGCATTCTCGAGAATGCAAGCAACAGCAAAGATAGTGGAAGGAGCAACTTCTTCGTGTCCGTTCTCGATAGCTTTCAAAAGGTTATCGGCAGTGTCATTTACACCATCAATAAGCTCAGCAAAACGTTCGGTGTTGGCAGTCCAGAGGACAATGACCTTATCGAGTTCGTTCTTGGCCTTGAAGTCACTGCGAAAAGAATATTAGCAGATGGCAATGGAACGAAGAGTAAATCACTGTGAATGCTTACCGGATATCTTGACGAATCTTTTCAACATGCTCATTGCAAGCCTTGCTACCTGGGATAAGGTTGTCGGCACGATCTTCTTGATTGGCAGCAATGAAATCTGGGTAGTAAAGACCAGGAAGTGGAACCAAGTCAGTCATTTCCTTCTTGATTTGTTGCTTCAAGGTAGGTTCGAGGACACCAGCACGATCCATGGCATCAGACAAGTTGAAGCCGCTGATATCCCAACCACCGATGACCAAATCATTGGGGTGAACCATTGGCAAAGCTTTGTGGAAAGGAATGTTGACATCGTCGCCAGTCTTCGCGTTAGTACCGAGTTTCATGGTTGAACCCATCACAACAGAGCCATAGTAGTTGTGCTCACGGGTACCCTCACGAGTTGCCCATGAAAGACCACGACGATTAGCAATGATACCGGCAGTAACGGTTGTACCATTGTTTCCACCCCAACCGACAAGCATCATACCTGTCTTGGGGATCTTACGTTCGACCTTGAAGTCATAGACAGTTTCTTTGGGAGTAGCAACAAAGTTGCCGTTAGCAGACTGAGTGACAGCGGTGGTACGATAATTGTACTTTGAGCGAATCTCGTCATCAGTGTAGAGAACGTTAGGAGAGCTAACGGTGAACAAGTCTTGGTTAGAGGATTGGGAGGATGCACCATCCATAGTGCTGGTGTTGCTGGAGCCGTTTGCGTGGGGAGCCATCTTTGATTGATTTGAAAACTCGAAAAGTTCTTAAAAGTGCTTGACAGTTCTTGATTTAACGTAAAGATGTTTGAGAAGATCTTAAAATTGATGTAGATGTGTAGGTAAAGCAAGAATTGCAAGTGTATGAATGTTTTCGAGTTTTGATGGGTACAGATGTATAGACAAAAATTGATGCAAATGTTGTGTATTGGAGAAGAAGAGGTCTGTTGATTGCAAGACTATTTATCTAACAAACGGCGAGTCCGATGCTCCTGCTGGAGAAGAGCAACGGGCACCAGCAAAAGGATGGTGCGATCTGTGAATGGGTTGTTAGTATGCCATATTGTAAAGAAGTTCCTCCCTCAATGGGGAGTTGTGAGAGGTTGAGTTGCATGTTGGGAAGGAAGTGTGAAGTGTATGACGAGGGAATCGTAAGATGGGTGAAGACCGCGATGTAAACAATGAACCTTGTGGAAAGCAGCAGCCGCAGAATCAATACAATTCGAAGGCATCGGATGTCCCCTCCTCTACTATCCAAGAGAATACGAAGGCATTGAGAAGGAGGTAAGATACACCCGCGATCGCATGTAAACATTGCAAGCCATGGAAGGCAGCAAGCAGCAGATATTGACAATCAAATAAACTCCAATCCATCAAGTGCAACTGAGTGTAGAGATGCACAGGACATTCTTTCTTGCTTCCTCTCTCACCCATCCTCCATCCACGGCAGAAGCAGCTTATTCAACCCTCAAACATTATCAAAATAAAATTGAATACGTACGAGTTGAGAAGATTAGAAAACGTCTTGACGACGGGGTGATCACACTCGTAAGTGCGATCTGTTTGATTGACTTGAGTTGAGTGTTGGAAGGGGTTTGCTTTGGCAGTTGATCTTAATCGTCGGTCGAATTTGATTCAAAGTATATGGTTATCGAAAGGAAGACTGAAATTCGTGGGGAGTTCGCATCATTTTAAATTCGTCGTGGTGACATCCGTTGTCCGAATTCCGTATCTCCCCCCACTATAATCTAAGGTACCGTCTGATAATAGTGGGTTAGCTTTGCTGGCTCGAATATGCGTCGTTGATTGGATGAGATTGGGTGGAGGGACCTAGCAGTATGTATATCGATAACGATCAACAAAAGAAAATATCATTTTCTCCATGATTTTGCTGTGATGTCTTGTGGAGAGTCTGGAGTACCTAGGTAGGTAGTTGTGGAGAAAATGGGAGGATATTGTTGATTTTTATGTATTGTGCGCTGAGTATGGTATGATATGGTATGATATGGTATAATATGGTATAATATGGTATAATATGGTATAATATGGTATAATATGGTATAATATGGTATAATATGGTATAATATGGTATAATATGGTATAATATGGTATAATATGGTATAATATGGTATAATATGGTATGGTTTGGTATGGTCTGTTATTATGAAGAAAAGTGCAAAGATGGTAATGATCACAACAGAAGAGACCGCATGCTTCACAAACTCATTTGGATAAGAGATCATCTCCAAGACTTCAAGGTGGCTATCAACTTGGCTTGCGAATCGCCTCCGTACAGAATATATTGTTATTGCATATTACACCATTCAATCCTCTCACCAACCATGATATCTACTAGGTATCTATCCCATTCGTCAATTTTGAATATCCAGAGATTCCTATACATACTAGGTACTTGGGTAGTGGTCCCTTTACTCTTCTCGTCTCACTGATTCGATATTTTCTTATTAAATTATCCGATCAATTAATGTCAACAATATGATCACGGAATAATATTCCCTCGGTCCCTTTCTTACCTTTCCTTCCCAATAATTATGTCGTTCCCGAAGACTACGGAATCTCGCATCGCGGTTGCGCCCGTTAGTACAGAATTCATGTGTATTATCAATAGAATAGCACTATTGAAATGAAGCAAAGTAGCGGTCAGAATACCATACGCAGATATATCCCATCAATGGCATTTCAACAGTTTTCATTACTCATTGCGTCGAGGAAATCATAACACGTGTTTTTTGAAGTGTCGACAAGGAAAGGAGGTGTGATGAGATAGATGCACAAGCGGCATTGTGAGAACGTTTGGTTGGCTTTATGTGTTTAAGAGCCTGAATTGGAGTATCCAATGTGGAAATTGATGTCGGTGTTCGAAATAGGGGAGTGGGCAGTCATTCATTTACAACTGTTGTGTTTTGCAACCGATGTGTTGTATGTTTCAGTGAGTACGGAGAGAGACTGTTGGACACTATACCGACACTAACGGCGTGGAAGGAGATGTTTGTCGGTGGGTAGTAAAAGAGATGATGCATGGAAGAGTATGGGAAATGGGAAAGCTGCTCTACAAGATAAATTCTTGTGTTGACCAAGTGAACTAGAAGGAAAGAAGAAAAGACCCTGATCAACAGAAATTATCACTCACAAAGAGACCAAGTCTAGAATCATCAAGGTCGAAAATGATCCCGTTGTAATCGTCTTCCATACTACACATAACTAGTACATATAGTATAGATAGTACACATAGTACACATAGTACACATACTTGCAATCCTACCTATTGACAGGCAGAGACTCAAAGAGGTCGGTCCATCCTCCCATCAACCAGCCGAATTGAAGAGAAAAGACAACACGATAGAACATCACATCCCCCATTTTTGAGAGCAGAAAGACCAAAAATTCCTGTTGAAAAAATTCCTGAAAAGAAGGGGATCACCTTCATATAAATTGAGTAGCGCCACTTCAGGAAATGTAAGGTGGAGATCAGGGGCTAGTAAGCCGCCGACAGAATAACGGGAAGGAAGAGTGACGAAGTGTAAAGAGTGGCCGTTTGTTTGACTGACAATATTGAAGCTATCGAAAGGGAAAAAATTCTAAATGTCTGTGTTGTGTTGGATTCATTACCCCGATTTATTATGAAGAATCGGCCAGAAGTGTTACGAGTCGATGCTTTAATTTCCTTTGGCTGCAATTTCTATTGAGAACACCCGACATAACAGCAATGAATAAATGCATAGTATAGTCCACGCACGGGATAGTATAACTTCGTTTTTTGGATCAAAAGAAAACACAATACCGATCCAATACCACCACTACAATCAAATCTCGATTATCTCCTCGAATATCTCTATTTGTACTACCTCTACCTATCAATACGATATTTTACTCTGCACTCTAAGGTTACACGTTACCGATCACACCTATCTATAATAGTACCCTATCACACCGTCAGGGTCCGGCGGTCCAATCTTAGGTTCACGGCGGCAAGGACTCGAAATGGGCAAGTTTGATAATTGATATTCTCCATGGGGGAATTGGTGGAGCGCTCAATTCAAATGATTCGATTCATTAGATACTTTAATACTCCTTCATTACTAGGTATGAGATACTGGATATTAGATGTTAGATACTAGATATTAGATATTAGATATTAGATATTAGATATTAGATATTAGATATTAGATATTAGATATTAGATATTAGATACTAGATATTAGATACTAGATACTAGATATTAGATATTAAATACTAGATACCATACTAGATACTAGGTAAGCTATCTCTTCCCACCATCGAAAGCGTTAGTATGTCGCGGACAGAGGACCAGAAGATTTTCCCAATAATCAATTGGGCATAGAACATCGAATGGAAGGAATAGAATGTTTTGGATAGAGACCACATACTCAATGTCTTGACATCATTATGGATGCGCATGAAAAGCGCGCGACATCTGAAACCCCGTTTTCTTAATTTTGGCTCTGCAATTGCGTAGCTCCCAAGGTTTCGATCATGCATGCGGGTAATGGAGTCAAACAAAAGGAAGAAGAAGAAGAAGCAAGAAAAAAGTAAAATATGCAACGGGACATGGCACGATAAACTTTGCACTGGAAGATGGCCATCAGTGTAGTGTGTACTGTAGTGTGTTTCGTTTCAATGGCCATGGTGTGGATCCTTTGGGTTACGCTCAGATAAAAAGTTTCCCTAGTGGTTCTAGGATCTTTGCGTGGACTGGACTCCTCCCTCGGTCCCTGACATATCGCGTCGTCCGATGAACCTTGATTTTTTTTTTTTTTTCATCCCTCGTTTGGATGCACTGGACGGTCGGATGAGATTGTACTAGGACCGTTCCGTGGCCCCTGATATTTGGAGGGACGGTGATAAGGTCCAATGGGGGCTGCAGTGCTGCCAAAAGTGGTTCTGCATATTGCGATGAGTGAGATGAATGAAATGAAGGAGATGAATGTATCGAGTGGAGGCGGTGGAGCAGGTACGGACGGACCAAAGTGGGAGAGAGAGGACGCTTCGTGATTCGGGGATGGAGAATTGGTGGAAAGGTAAATGTTAGAGTTAAATGATTGAGAGAGGGGCATGGGACGATGTTGAAGATGTATGTGGATGTAGGAGAGTTGGTGGTGGGATGATATGAGGATATATTTATGGATCGGGAGTGTCTACTGTGTACTGTGTACTGTGTACTGTCTAGTTATCTATCATCTAATAAGGAATGGGTACTCATGAATGTTCTCTTTGAAGTTGGAGCTGATTGGATACATAGCTCGAGAGACATCAGATAGATAGATATCTAGGTAGATATTAAATATACCTTCATCTTGCAATACCGGTAGACCATACATACCAGCCGACTAGTACACATACTTCTACCAATACCAACACCAACCGGCACTACTCAGTTCATCGACGACCATACGTAGCTTGGACCTCCCGAGTCATTTCTTTCCATGGCATCTTCCATGGCTTCCACTCCTCCCATCGACTCATCCCAATCCCATGTGCCGATGTAAATCTCTCTTCCTCCATACCCAATCATCCATCAATCCCATTACTCGAGACATCTACTCACAATAAACTCTCCATTCATGATCCCGCAAACCTTACCAATGAAACCAAATATCCCATCGATATCATCAAGTCACCCTCCTCTCCCCATCACCCCATCACCACTTCATCCATTGATTGGACCAGAATGAAATCAAATAATATTTATCCGCAACAATAGATAATTAAACATGAACCAATCATGACCCGCGAAAGTTTATGCTATGGGACTTGGATGTTACAATAACCTCCATCGTCAAGCCAGCACGGTTCACCATCGAGGACGGGTCATCATGTTTCTTGTACCTGAATCCATTTTCATCCCATTTTGGATTCTGGTTGTGACTTGGACCAGGGGGGGAGGGGAGGGAGGACGGAAAGAGATTCCAAGTGTGAAAGCTTGCGCAGGTCCATGATATGATAGTCTATTGTCTATTGTCTATTGTCTATTGTCCATTATCCATTATCCATTATCCATCGCCCATCGTCCATCGTTCATCGTCCATCCACGAGGAAGATACCAGGTACAGTTACTCGAGTACTACTCAAGAAGATCTTCTCTTTTCTTCTTTTCTCCACACCGCACTATACTAGGACGTGGGAGTTTCATCCAACTATCAAACATTCGTTCGTCCTGATCTTTTCCACCTTTTATTTTTTGTTTTGTTTTTATCTTCACTACCTACCTATACACGCATCCAGATACATCCACCCTCACACTCACACTCACACTCATTCTCAGTAATAACAGTCAGTCCTTACAGCAATATTCGAATAGCAAGCACAACATTCATTCATCCCTACCTATCTATCAATCTTTACATCTTGTCGTTCATTCCCATCCAATCTTTCAACTAGGAATTCTATCAATACATACTTACTTACATTACAATATACCATATCTTCGTCTTCGTTCTTCAATCGCATTGACACTTCACTTAATTCATTCTTCAACATCTCTCACAAGAATTTGCTTCCTAATCAAGACTCTGTACATTACTGCGATCAGATCCAATTGAGCTTGAAGATCATTTCTAGAAGATTTAATTTAATATATTGAACTCACAAACGAAACAATTGAATACTCATAATATCGCCATTCTCTATAAACTTCCTTCCTTCGCTTCAAAAATCACCAGATCTTTCATCCTTTCCCTCTCCATACTGAGCATTTTACCGCCTCCACTCAATTGATCGACGAAGGAATAAGAGACCAACATAAAACATTATAGCCGCTTTATGATCAATATTTAAGAATCAATCGAGGGAATTGAGAGGTTGGCATAATCAAGAACTTATCTTGCTCACCATGGCAGACTTTATGAGATCGTCGAGTTTTTTACCAACGATAAAATGTTCGAGTTGCGCGAGGGATATTCAAATTGCTATGATGGGGGAGCATATTTGCTCAGGCCCTCCTTCTGCTGGAGAACGTAAGTTTCTAGGTCCATGATATCAATGGTGTAATATCAATACTAATTATTCATGTAGCTACACCACCACTCGATTTAAATAATACTTTCGACAGGATGCCATACAATCAGCAATCATATTCCAATGGTTCAAATCTTTTGAAACCAGGAAGAACAATGCCTCCGAGGGTTGATACATCTGCTGCGAGTATGTTGAAGAGCTATTGGACTTTTGAAATTTATACTAATGATAACATCAATAGATCGTCCATTCTTCCAACAAGATCAATTGACACCAGCGAGTAGCGCATCTCCCTCTCGAAGTGCTTCGCCATTGACTCCACATGATCGCCTTCGATTACCATTCGGAAAGTCTTCGCGCGCTAACGAATCGTCACCTATGCAAAGACCTATCACTCCAGCTCTATTATCATCCAATCTAGACTCTGCTTTCCCTCGCTTTCCCACACCAAAAGTAACGGGATCACCCAGACTTAAGAGCGCATATGACGCTCACTCGCCGAGAATAGAACAGGCGGACCCAATGATGTTCGCATCCACAAATTCAAAAGTCTACATGAATCAAAATGTAGCTGGAAGTGCTGCTTCTCTACAAAAAGTCGTTACAAATACCCCAGAACCTTTTGCGACGGACTCAAGAAAGGTTCCTAGTTATGGAGAACAGACAATGTACAATAGAAAACCTAGTATGGGACGTCCAGATGACATAATTTCGCCACCATTGACTGCGGAGCCTGAACAAATCGATCGAACGCTCTCGACAAGCTCGGGTCATTCTAGAACTTCAACAAATAGCTCGACTAATAATTTCCCAATGCCACCGCGCAACAAAGGATATGGTATCCTATCACCAGAGGTGAGAGAAGATTCTCAGGAATCCGGACGTCAGGAAGCTATAAGATCACAAACATTTCCTCGACGAAAGGAGAGTCTCGATTTTCATTCGTCACGTAGAAATCAATCGATATCAAGTCACAGGTCACGAGAGTCGAATGACAGAGGACGGAAAACATCAATCTCTGGTCCTGATACATCAAGAGCATTACCACCGCGAGGTGCAAGTCTCATCAGAGGAAGATCAGGACATCAAGCTGGAGATCTTCCACCGTTACCCAATATCAACTTGGAAGCAGAATTTGGTGCTAATAATCCATACCATTCTGCATCTAATTCTCAATCATCCACTCATTCATACACTTCCTCCACTTCTGCAGGGAGTAAAATTAGCTCACGGTCAAGCCCTCCATCCACGGTGGAAAGCGATTACCACAGGAGACAGCAATCAAATCCCAGAATGTCTGAACTCATGTCTGAAATTACTTCATCGATGGCCAATATTTCACCACACGAAATGTATCCCAGACCAAGCGACTTGGAGCCAGTAAAAGAACAAGAACCATACTCACCTCTGAGTCCCGCCTTTCAATCTCCAGATTACGCCACCAATCCTGTCAGCCGCCTATCGCCTACACCTCGTGTTCCCCCACCCGCGCCTCTCAAACCCCGCAATCGTGACCCCTCGCCTGCGCCACTGAATCCTCGACTAAGAAATCTTTCACCAGACCCCATGAATGGTTTCCAAAGATCTCACACAGCTCCACTCCTCGATCAGAACAAACCTTTGCCCGCTCCTCGCCGTCCTGTGACTTCAAAAGGTAATTGCAAATCTTGCACGCTTCCCATCAAAGGCAAATCCGTATCTTCAGCCGATGGACGTCTAACTGGTCGCTATCATAAACCATGTTTCGTCTGCACAACTTGTCGAGCTCCATTCCTTACCTCGGAATTCTACGTTCATAATGATGCGCCTTATTGTGAACATCATTATCATCAATTAAATGGTTCAATGTGCTCTGGCTGTGATAGGGGTATCGAGGGACAATATTTGGAAAGCGAGAAGAAGGAGAAGTTTCACCCGAGCTGTTTGAATTGTGCGGATTGTAAGAGGAATTTGAGACATGATTATTTTGAGATGAATGGGAAGATTTATTGTGAGCGGGATGCTTTCAGGAGAGCACAGGAATCGCGCAAAGGAGGGTTAGGTGCTGGACTGGGTGCGGAAACGACAAGGATGGAAAGGAGAACTACGAGATTAATGATGATGTAGTGGCTCTGGGATATACAGAGATTGGATTTGAGGCGCTTAATACTTGGAGGATCGTGCTGTTTTATACCATATAGTCTTGAATAGACTTGCGTTGCTTTTTTTGTTCCTTAAAGGCATAGCGAAGCGTTGCATTATACCTTTTTTTTTCTTTTTTTTCTTCTCGATTTCTAATTTCGATTGGTCTGGAGACCTTTGATTTCGATCTCGGCTTCGGGTTCGGCATCGGCTTCTAATTCGACTTTGAATTCTGTTCATCTATATACCCTTACTTATTCTTATTCTCAACGCAAGGAAATAATGCGTTAATTTTTATACCTACCTTACTTGGGATTTTTGCTTGGACTTTTGTTTTTCTATACATGTTTTTTAAAAGAGAATTCTGAGTTTTACTTTTAGTTGAAATGAGTGGGTTTTGTGGTATATATAGGTACGGAGGGGTAGGGAGGGGATGGGAAAAAGATGAAGATGAAATAATAATGTTTATATGTGACTCGGGCTGCTGTTGGAGTTGGAGTTGTGTGGGTGGGTGAGTGGATTGTGAATAGATAATAGAGGATGAGCGGATTGTGAGTTGGGAGGATGGGTAGGTGTGAGAAGGCTTAGAATAGAATAGAATAGAACAGAATGAGTTGAGCTGAGATGGAATGGAATGAGTTGAGAAGAGAAGAGAAGAGACAAGAAGAGATGAGATAAGAAGAGAAGAAATGAAATTATGTATGTAGTATAAAACTTATCTAGATATTGTATGATATGATTTTATGGGATAGGGTGTATGAATATATATGTACCTACCTAGGTTTAATACCTAGGTTTAATAGCATCGATCACACTGTATAGAAAGCTTACCATCATTCGTTCATTCATTCATAAAACACAAAAAACACGCAAACATTCTATGCTAGTAAAGTAAAGTAGCGAAGAGAAGAGTATATGAATTAGGTAGGTATGCGCAAATGCATATCCACTCATTCCGAATTAACTAAACTATCATGTAATTAAGTGACTAAAAAACTATCCATCTACCAACAGACAAAACAACCCAAAGATCGCATCACAATCCTATTCAAGTATTTCATTTTATAAAATCTTGGGAAAGTCCTTAGTCAACCCATCGACATCTCTGCACCTTTTACATTTCCTTGATTTCGCTTCAAAAAAGAAGGAAATTAGAAAAGAAAGATGATCTCAGAAAAGAGAGCGAGTTGTGATATCGTGAGTGTTTGCCGTCAAGTAGAAGAGAAACCAGATTCGCCACATTTGATGCACAGCGTGAAACCGCTGGCTCCATTCCCATTCCCAATGTGCAACCAGAATACATTAATACAAGAATTTCATCAAACAAGTTTCCCTTAGCCATGACCGTTCATCCATTCATCCATGCAGATGTACATGCTATCGAGTAAAAGAAATCGGGTATACCCATTCCATTACGCCAATTTCATGAGACAGGTTTGTGCCGTAAAAAATCCTCCCCAACGCCATTTGATCGTAATTTTGTATGCAAAAGGAAGAGATTCAAGATGATCCACCATCGCCATTAAGAATGCGTGCCATCTCTTCACGTTCAGCGATCCACGGAGCACATGCGATTTTTTCAGCCTCAGGGATATTACCTGTGGCTCCACCTTCACCATCAGACCACTCGCTAGGATCTTCAATGAGACCAGGACAAGCCATACGCTTCCAATAACGTCGTTCACCCTTGTATTGATGAACTTGAGTTGTGAGCTCAGTAATAATCTTGTGCTCGGAAGCATAACGACGAAGCTGATTAATGTAGTCATTGGCCTTTGCAGCATGAGCTTGCATGTCCGCAATGTGGCAACGAAGTTCAAGATTCTCTTTACGTTCTTGGGCGAGTTGATCACGGTAACTCTTGTGCCAGGCAAGAGTGTCCTTCTCATGTTGAAATTTGTAATTGTGGGCCTTCTCCTTGATATCTTCAAGGATACCAGCAGCATGTAGAACCAACTTCCAATTTTCGTCAGCATCAGCCTTGGATGATTCGACTTCTCTACGCAATTGGGCGTTCTCAATCTCAAGATTCTCTGAACCAGCTAATGAATTGTTAGCTATGCTTCTTAAAGCGGAGGCAGTGACTTACCATTCAATTCCTCGGTAACAATATCAAGGAGCTCGTCATTGCTCAAATTCTTATCTTTGGCTCGTTGACGAACATTTCCAATCTTTTCAAGAATACTATCGGTAATCTTCTGATTGGCGGCCAAAAGACGGCTCAATTCTTCAACCATGACCATAATATAATTAAGGTCAGATTGATGTCCAGCAGGAGTTGGAAAGCCAATCATGTTAGCCATTCCGGCCATGTTCATCTGACCGTTCATTCCGTTTGTATGAGCCATACCTTGACCTGGCGATGGCGGTGCTTGTCTAGAGTTGGATGGTTGGCCGGATTGATTTGGATCACCGAAACCCTGATAATTCATCTTACGTTCCTTATGTGTCTTGGGTGCTCGAGGTGGGGGAACGTATATCGCAGAAGTGAGTTGAGGAAGATTGTTGGTAGAAGAAGTAAGTGGGATTTGATTGTGGAAAGGCTCTTGTACAATGGGTCTGTAGTCGAGTTCTGGATAGGCTCGAAGATCTTCAGTAGAAGGGAGCGAAGAGACAGAAGATGATCGAGAATGATGAATAACCGATCCACGACGACGGGCTCTTAAATCAGTAGTAAGAGGGTGTTCAACAACTGGGAGTGGCTGGCGAACTGATGGCAGACGAGGAGCTTTAAGAGATAATTAGCAAACAATCGAGGCGCAATTCTTTCGATCTGAACTTACATGGTCGGGCGCTCTGAACACCACGGTAACTGAATTCCTCACTTTCAATTTCTGCTGCGATTCCTTCTCCGTAAATTCCAAGACCGATGCCAGATTCTTGAAGCTCTCGATCGTGTCGAATGACCTCTGCGCGAAGGCGTTCGAGCTCTGCGTTCAAAAGGCTTGAATCGGATGTATTTGAATTGATTGAATCACGGCGTGACGCTGGGATTAAATCCTCCAATTGAGGGCGCTCAGTTGATGGAGGAAGTGTATCTGATCTCGATCTTGTTCTTCTTGGTAAAGTAGTTGTAGGAAGAGGAGTAGTGGTTGTTTCAAGAGTAGGGAATGGGGTTGGAGGGGATAAGCTTCTGTTAATAGAGCTATCCATGATGGAAATCATAGGGCCCGAGCGGTGACCCAACCGACAATGGCAGAATTTTAATTAAGAAGAGTTGAAAAAAAACTGTAGCCTAAGGCGAACAATATTCGAATAAGGAACAACCACCAAAATCAGTTGAAGAAAAGCCAATGTTGTTGATATTGTCGTTGTTAATCGTTTTTGAGGATGTAAACAAGTTCAAAATTGTTGTGGGAGAAACTGAACCAAGCTAACCACTTTTGCCAAAGAGATTCAAGGTATCCTGAGGCCATCAAAGCCTAGATGTTAGGCTTCAACTTCACATGGACTAATGAGTGAGGTCTGTGTTATGTGAAGGTTCAAGTATGAATCACACATTGAGAAGTTATCGTCTGGCCTGTGTTCTTCTAAAGCCCTGTTAGTATCTAATTTGATGCTATAAAAGTTGGGGAAAGTTCTCTCTATCTTCTGATAAGGGTTGAAATCCTAGAACTGGTATATAGGTATCAGTGAAGGACAGTACAGCTTCCGTCTTGTTTCGGTCACTTGATAGTAGCAAGTGTAATAAACAATACTTTCTAGAATACAATACTGATGTTTGGTCGAGAATTCTTGATGATACATGTCTAGGTCAACTTTGTAGTATTTCAAAGGTCTTTCCAGCTTCCACAGTAGTGTGTGGTTCTTCAGGAAGGAGCCAAAGACTTCATAGTTCTCACCCAGTTTTATATATTCGTATGTATCAATGCAAATAGCTTTGTTCCTACTATTGCATTTCGGACACTGACATGATGTTTCTATTGCATTAGAAGTGTAGTTTATTTCACATGTTGTTGAAGCAATTCTTGTATTATCAAAGTAGTGATTCGGTGAACTTGACTAGGAGATGATCAATTAATAGTCAATATCTGGCACAGTCACTTCATCAATAGATCAACTATTAGCACTTATCTGGTCTTTCTACCATCTCAAATTTGTATCATGTAGTCAGTCGTATTGAGGCCAAATGCCTGAATGTAAATGCATGCTTTGTTGGAGATATATCATATTTTCCTGACGGATTGTCAAAACAACAGTCTTTGTGTTAAACAACGAAAATAGCGGGCATATGACTCCTATCTGCTTCGAATCAATCATGAATGCAGATATTTCAAGGTCTTGCAATATATATAAAATTCTCACAGCTAGTTCTGAATATGGGCCAAGGGTCAGAATAGGGCTTGAACGAGTGACAAAGGAATCATCAATCATTGAATATAGTTTTTAACGTATTACGGCATTTTCAAGTATCGTATATTGCCCAAATACATGAGTTCATATCGATAAATGCAGTGTATAAGCCCCATGTACAAGCTCAACCCTGTTGCTCTGCTCGGCCCACTTCCTATCATCTAGGAGGTGTCTGTTGATCATAACATGACAATTATCCTTGGGTAACACCACCGTAGCTGTTGATCCAACTGGAACCCTCAATTCCATCTCAACCCCACTACCGATCTTACTCCAACTCAATCCAATCATCCCGTAAGGGCTCTCAAACTCCCCTTCCACAGTACCAAACTCGCTATGGTAAGCGGGAGCCACAGTGAAAGTTCTCCATCCCTTATCCCAACCTTCAACCCCAAGACATAGACATAAAACCACTCCAAAATACTTCCCAACATATCATGGCATTTACTCCTGCATTCATCCTGCCAAAACTCAAGAAGAGTGGTTTCTCCCCTACGTAAGAAGCGCATATAACTAGGATGTTCTTCTTGTCTCGCCATTTGCAACACTAGATCAGTTCTTCCGAGATCTCCAAGCGTGTTAAAGAGATGCCTCAGACCGATTTCTCCAGAGCGCAATTTACCATCCGAGACGTCGGAAAGAAAAGATGCTTGGACGGCAGAGATATGCGCTTCAGGAACCATATTAAATTGGAGAGCGAGGGCTTGACATACGGCGTCGCAATCGCGGTTAGGATAGTCGTCCCGGGATGTGTAGTAAGCGTGAGGACGAGATGGATCATTTGTCACTAATAAGTGTTGATTATACACATCGTAAATTCTCTTTGCTTCTTTCTCCCAACTCTTTTTCTTGTGGTCTAAATTCAAATGAGAGGCAAAACTTGACATGCAGAGTAAACACTCATGATAAATAGCTGTTTCAATATTGCTTGTGCATTTCCATGCGCGATTCCTCGGCCCCAATCTCCAAGACCATGTTCGATTAGTCCACCAAATCGCTCTTTGCCTTTTATATAGGCCATGTATCGTTCGCCTGCTCGGTACATCTTGGCAATGGATTTCGTGGTTCCATAATAGCGTTGGAGAATATCGGGGATGAGGATTAGTGCACAGCCCCAGGTGATTGTATCGTGTAAGGGACCACACATATATGTCATTTCAGGCGCCATGGTAGGGATGAGACCTGATCGCTCTTGGGCATCCAGAATGTCGTCTAGTATGTTTGTGTAAAGAGATTCCATGTTCCACATATATTGTGTAGTTGGTGCTAGAAGATGAGTTACTTCCAGCCATGCAAACTTTTCAATTTGAGGGCAATCGGTGTGGTAACTGAAGAGGTTACTCGAGAAAGTCCACTTCAATGCCGAGAGAAGAGCATTGACGTCTTCTTTGTCGGTTTTCATGGTTCCCAATCTTGAAGAAGCGGACGATACGTGTCTACCGCAGACAGAATGCAGCAGTGGCAATTTCGATTCCGTATCTTTCGCATTGCGTACACCTTCGAGTGCGAGAAACAAAAGTCAGGCGTCCAATGCTCTTTACCACCTGTTCCAGCCAAGATGAATTTCGAGTACACTTTCGTCTCAAATTCTTTGAATAATGGATCAGGCATACAAATCGTGCCATCTTCATATGTTGTCTCTCCATATCTGACTGTGATTTCACTTCCAGTTTCCCCTTCAACTTCAATTTCAGTCATGATAGATGAATTTTGACCCAAATCAATACAGATAGTTCCGGGCCGTGGAGAGGTTTCCTTGATTGGCGTGAAAGTTTCATGAAGGACAACTGGTGGTTGACTTTGATACTTTAGAGCGCCTCTTGGACCTGTCAGCCCTTTTGCAGGTTTTCCATGAACTATCATCAAAGCCTGGCGCATCCCAGCCTATTGGGTATAAGCGGCGATCATGAGTTTCGGATGCATAAATATTTGCTAACAGTGTTGCACTTGGGGCGACCCTCCATTTGTCGTCCGAAATCTCAACAACATGAGATCCATCTTCGTAGAAAAGATGCAATTCAGCGAAGAAGCAAAGCTCATTTCCATACCGGACATAAGTATTATCTTCATACTTTGGCCAGAAGAAGCGGTCCCCTTGATCACCGGCAGAGAAACCATTTCCAATATGCGCCCCAAGCACATTCTCTCCAACCGAAAGTCGCTCCGTAACATCATGAGCAACGTATTGAACAGTCGTATGATAATCCGTCCATCCTGGATCAAGAACATGCTCCGAAGCCGCTTGTCCATTCACTCTAAACTGATGATGTCCAAGTCCACAGACAAATGCAACAGCTCTCGTGGGTTTTCGTTCGAGCGTGATAGTTTTGCGGAGATAAAGGGGCTTTTCTCCCCCATCACCAATTCACCATGCTTTCCATTTATTGTCCATATCTTCAAACCAGGTACGGAATATTAATGCCGTGTGAGGCATATAAATTTGATTCATACTCAAAGGAGGAAGATGATCGGACCGTGGATAGGCAGTAAAGAAGTTGTCACTCTTTTCGCAGGTTTCCCCATGCTGATTCCATGATGTCACCTTCCAGACGTATTAAGTGCAGCTTTCAAAACCACCTTGAGGTTCGCATCGAATATTTCTCTGCTGTGGCCCATCGCAACGTCCCGAATCCCAGAGGACTTCTCCAGAACTAGATCCCTTGCGTACGATGACTTGATAGGCATCTTGCTTCTCGCCTTCAAGGTCGCTCTCAAGTTTCCAGTGAAAGAGTAGGACATCGCTATCAATGCCTACTGTCTCATGAAAGCCATGGATACCACAAGATGAGATCTTCATTTTAGCCGAAAACCAAGTCAGGTGTTGTCGTACAAGTATTATTTAAATCTCCTCGACACCGCAGAATCTCAAGACCAACAACTCAAAAAAGCTTGATTGTCAGCTTCCAAGCAAACTAAGATTTCACCCTTTCAAAAAGAACCCTTATAACATATCTCGACTTGCCGAAAGCTTAAGCCGTCGTCAATATTGGCTGATAGTGGACGCGAGATGTCGGGTCAATGAACGGCGAGCCCCACCCCCCTCGCTTCCACTCTAAATTTTGCGGGGACGGAACAAGTCCGGGCTTGAGAGCTGACGCCAAGAGTGACATCCGAGTGGAGTTGAGAGGAATGTGGAAAATATTTACATGAGATGAGGTGCTGGATTCCTCTCAGAGTTGCAAAGCGTAAAATCCGAATCGAGCTCGAGTTGGAGTAGTTATTGTCGATTCCATGTGGTCTACAAATGCACTAAAAAGAAGATCGTGTAGAGTAACTATCATACTGATTATGTGCAGTGAGAACGCATGGATGACTATATAATTTTCTCTCTAATACGTTTCGACTTGTTGAACTCTGGAATAACCACGAAATATCTTCATCATGTGTGAATACACCCTTCTCGTTCATTGCAGCTCTCGCAGCTTCTGCACCAGTAGGATCATCTAATGCATGAGGAATCAGTTGATCACCAAATAGTTCGTCCATCTGCTCAAGTGTTTTGCCCTTGGTCCTATACAACAAGTTAGCTTATACCATAATTTAGATTACAAAAGCAATAATACGTACTCTGGGTAGAAGATCCAATAGCATACTGCTGAAAGGATATTGAACACAAAAAAGACGTAGAAAAATTTGAATCCGATATTATCGAGTGTCAATGGTCCGGTTTGGCCCAGAAGAAGACCAAGACACCAATTTGTCAGGGTTGAGATAGAATTTCCACGAGCTCGAATTTCCACGGGAAAAATTTCGGCAGGGTAGACCCAACTGATAATTCCAGTGAATGTATAGAAGAATGAGAAGACAAGGTTCATGGCCACCATGGCCCGTAGTGCATTGGTATTTGTTGATTGTTGTCCGCCGACAACATAATATTGACTGAGAACTGCGTTGACCAACAGAGCCAATGCCCAACCAGTGGCCGAGAAAACCATTGGTTTGACTCGTCCAAGTCTTTCCAAAAAGTATAAACCGAGTGCACAGTGAACAATGGAAAGAGAGCCAGAGATGCCGATGATCATGAGGGAAGTGCGAGTGTCAATACCCAAAAGACTGTAGATAGTGACCCCGTAGTAGTTGATAACGTTAATGCCTGATAGTTGACCCCATGCTTGGATTCCACATCCCAGAATGAGTCGATGTCTCCATGATTTTTTCGCAACGAGTCCGGACCATGGTTTGACTGCTACTGTCTTTTCTGCAATGATTGTGTCTCGAATTTCAGCAAACTCCAGTTCCAAGTATTCGTCATTTGAACCATCGCCGTGCAATTTGTAAAGAGCCTCTCTCGCCTCTTCTTGTTGATCCTTCTCCATTAACCATCGAGGAGATTCTTGCAAGAACCAAGTTCCGATGGCTAGGAATAGACCAGGAACAACTTGAAATGCCAAGGGGAAGCGCCATTGAAAACTAGAAGTGGTATAGTTGCATCCGTATCCGATCTATTGAGCTGCGAAATATCCTGCAATAAGCATGCCAACATTAGCGGCACCCGCTTGAAGTGCACATCCAAAGGCAGATATGGCACCTCCGAGCGCAATGGTCTTCTTCCTTCCTAAACCACCTGCCAGCCATGAGATCGTGAGTGCTCCTAGAATCGCACCACCTGTGAAGGAAGACACCACTCCACCCTCAGTCGATGAATCAAGTTTTCCGAAGTATAAAATGAATTCTGGTTGCCCAATTGTGGAGGTAACAATACCACTATCATAACCAAAGAGGAAACCTAAAAGGGATATGTCAGAAATAACTATTCTCGCAAAGGCTCGGAACATTGTTCAGTTTAACTCCAATTGACAGGAAAATACCCGTGCCGGTGGTAACCGCCTTACCCATTATAGGCTGTCAAGAGAACTTCTTGTAGAGCAGATTCTTCTTGGTGTTGTCTCGGAAGATGTTATCAGAAAATCACCCAGCTACCTCAAGGTAAGTCAGCAAGAACTACTACCAGAGCCATAGAGGATCTGGGTTGCATTAAGTAGGTAGCCAAAACTTCTCATTTTGGGAGCATCGATTCTGGTTAGATTCTCACACCACTGCTAGTGCTACAGTCTTGAATATGACCAAAACAACGCTCTGTCAACCGGCATCCATTCACGGCACCCAACCGACACATTTCGTACAAATGGAAGCCGAAAGATAGTAGCCTATGCCATGAATACCACAGTATCACAGAATCCCCAATACCTGGGGGCTGGAGTTGGCGGGGTGCATATCCACACCACTTGATACGCTAGTTTAGGCTCTGGAGTATGGAGGATGGGGCTTGCATGGGGTTGCTATGCTGCGATATTCCAACGATGGTCTAGGACCCATATTTTGGTAACTTCGCAATTCCAGCATGTAAGACCGAGATAGTGGACGAGGTGGAAATTTGAAGCCCCTTTTGTGTCACAGGTGCGCGGGGAAGTGGGGCGGTCGTGGCGAGTCGAGTGTGTGGAGTGGCTAGAACAATCATCTCAGATTTGTTTGTCGTGCTACATTATTGCAAACTTGCCATTATAGATGTCGACAGCTTGTCTGCTTAATTGATAAAGATATCGAATGCAATGCAAGTCACTATCCTTAAGGTAACGTACATCTGCCATATATCCATGTCTTCATCGCCGATTCAACTGGGCTTCGACTTGGATACATATGTTGCTCCGAACCTCGAAAGTGTATATATGCTATGATACTGATGTCTGTATGAATTCCTGATAGAGACTTATGAGACTCACTGATTCCATACACTGGGAGAGTACACTGGCATAAGATGGATGGGTCGAGACCGCTTCCTCTTTCGTCGATTATCACATACCGAGATTGTTGCAAGGAGCGTTCACTTCCTTTTGTTCATCTAGGGATCATCATGTAGATCTTACCCATATTTGTCTAAACCTTAGGGATTCTGGTCCTCAGGCTCTGCTGCAGAACCAGCCTCGGTTTCAATATCATCCTTGCCATAATCCGACATCTCACCGGCCTCAAACTTTCCCATCAATTGATTAACTTAAGCTGTATTAGCACTAGATCTTCTTCCAATCTCTCATCTGGTATATTCAAAACTCACACAACTCTGAGCTTTTCAAGATTGCTGGCATTCAACACGAGAAGTATTCCACGGATATTGCTAGTTACATTACTTTCATAAAACAAATGTGTCCAGGCCGTCCCCTTCCTAGAAAGGAGTCGCTGAGAAGCGCTGGCTGCCACGTTTATCCTTCTGCTTACGATACCTTTTTTCTGTCTAGGGAGCCAAGCTGTGTCCGTGAAGAAGCAATCATGATGAAAAAATTCCTACCATCCTAGTGCCCTTGCTGACTCTACTATAGTGACAGCATGACTTAGGGCTATTCACCATTTTTGATACACCTTCAGAATATAGGTAAGCAACAACAAGCTTGAGCTTTGAGTTCAACAGTTGAACCATATACTACTCGCATTGAAACTGCAGACGAAATTTGATCACAGCATGGCATAATGTGGGTTACAGATCAACTCAGTCCTCCGGTTGAAGATTCATTGTTTTAAAGCTCTTTGAGGAGCAAATACATCTTCTCTATAGCACGTTTTCTTATATGACCCTGTGGCAACACATGTTATCAACATGCGACAGACGTCGGACTCAATGGCCTATAAAACTATAACACTGTACTGTTGCATCAAGCTGTCTGTTGTAATCACGATGCATTGCAGTGTAATGTTTCGAAAAGCTATGTAATCGCGAGTTCAGATCCCTGTGCCAGATTGGCTTCTTCTTCGACTAGAGTTGGCATTTTGACAATCAAGAATTGCCTGGAAATATGAAACACAAGACTTCAATTTAATCAAAAGGGATTGCAATACGACTATAGCCTAGTCTTATAAGATTTATGGATTTCAGGGGCTGAGGTTTAGGAAAAGACACGAAATTATCTAGGGTGTTACCATATCAGACAGTGGGCATTTTAGGCTATGATCTCAAGCAAACAACGCAAGCAATACAGCTATATGTCTAGATGAAGACATTTCCCTAACTGCAGAATCATTTCATACTGACAGAATATCAAGAAGTAGCTATCACTGCTGCATGGTTATTAATTCGCAATCACGTCTACATTCAATGCGATGCCAACGAAGCTACCCCTGCCATGCTGACAGCGCCGTCATCACGCATTCACCAACATAACACCAAAAGAAGGCTAACAATTCGCGTCTTACCACCCCAATAGATAAACACACCATCATTCCACGAACTTATTCTGAGATTTCTTCATCACTGAAACTCTGTGTCGAACTTTGCGACGATTTGACTAAGAGTGCCACAGACTACCCTTCTAGCTCATTCTCTTCTTCTGCCGGTTGAAATTAACCATGGGTGTCACCTTCTCGCAATTCTTTCCCCCAACTCCCACTCTGACAGAGAAAAACTTACCCAGTCAGAAGAGCAAGGTATTCATCATCACAGGTGGAACATCGGGCGTCGGTCTTGAGCTGGCTACTATTCTCTACAGGGCTGGGGGCAAAGTTTACATAGCTGGACGCTCAGAAGCCAGCGCTCAAAAATGTATCAAGCATATCAAAGCATCATCAACAACGAAGTTACCTGGCCAGCTTGAATATCTCCCTTTAGAATTAGGTGATCTGAGTAAGATTAAAGCGTCAGCCGAGTCCTTCATGAAGAAAGAGTCAAAGCTCGATGTCCTCTGGAATAATGCCGGCGTTTCGCAACCAGCATTAGGCAGCGTATCTAAACAAGGCTTTGAACTTCAAATGGCCACGAATTGTTTGGGACCGTTTCTCTTCACGCAGTATCTTCTCCCGTGCCTGAAAGCTGCGGCAAAAGAATCCACGCCTGGCGCTATCCGTGTGGTTTGGACACATTCTCAGTTCTCAGAGCTTACGGCTCCCAAAGATGGGATTATCATGTCTGACCTTGATACTCCCCCCAGAGATCAAGTCAAGAATTACAACAATTCTAAAACCGGCAACTGGTTCTTGGCTAGTGAGTTGACGAAGGAGGTTGGCGAATTCGGTATCTTGAGTGTCTCGCAAAATCCGGATAATTTGAAGACCAATTTGATGAGGAATGCGAAATCGATGTATTACGCTGCTTGGCCGCTCTTGTATAAGGCCAGGATGGGAGCGTATACAGAGCTTTGGGCGGGATTGTCGGAGGGGTTGAACATGGAAAACAATGGAGCGTGTGTGGTTCCTTGGGGGCGTATACATCCAGGCCCAAGACAGGATTTATTGCTTGCTTTGAAGAGTTCTGATGAAGGAGGTAGTGGCACAGCAAAGAAGTTCTGGGATTGGTGTGAAGGCAAGACTGCAGTACAGATAAATGATGCCCCTGGAAAATTCTGCATAGGATTATCTAATTCTAGATGCTCAAAACTCATCGTTTAATTTATCCTCTTCAAAATTATAAAAGTTTCACTGGAAAACTTTTTCTAAATCGACAGTTCGTGTTCTTTATCGTCCACGAGTCAAATTTGCTTTCGAATTCCTGAACAGATCTATATCAGGTTTACATTATGGACATTTCTCTCTTGAGTTGGTATGCTTGCAAAGTTTCGTGTCAGCAAGTTGCAGGTTTTAATGAAATTCCAACAGATCAACTGCCTGCGCCGCAGATACTTGCACACAAGTTAGTCCCTAGTGGATCATACCAACATCAAGCCAACGCCTAGCTCTGTTGCTTAGAACAAAGATCTGAATCCCAGTTTATATGTGAGAGTCAATCTTGGACTGTAGAATTCCTAAATAAAATTTTCTATGAGGTCTTGGAAAACGTGTTGCTATAATACTCTTGGAACGTTGGTCCTAAGCTTGTTCGTATAAACCACATTCTCCTTCGTCCCTGGAGTAAAAATTTTCATAATCCAAAATACCTTTTTTCAATAGAAACAGTACAATCTATCACCATTCTTTACAACCTGACCATCCATACTCTTTCCAACATCTCTTGTCCTAGAACCTAGTACTCCCCTCGCCTCCCTCTCGCACCCCCTTTATCATCTCCCTAATTCGTGGAATTCTAGTCCGCACCAAATACGGACCCATCATCCGCATCATTCCCAATGTACCATCCTTCTCGCGCCTCTCTGTCTGGATTGACATCCTCGCAATACAATCCAACTGCCTCCCCTTCCCAGAATATTCAACATGGTGAAAACATCAATCTAATCAATCCAAATGCCCCATCAACGCTCCTCCCACAGCCAATGTAGGTATGAGAAATCTACAAGCTCTCGCCTTTACACTCCGCGCTTTCAAAATCTAAGAATCTATTTTGCCAAAATACATCTCATTACTCACTTCGAGTCTCACAACCAGATAAGTTCGATACAAATAACGAAATCTCCAAGGAGCTAATAAGGCAAATATCATCTCGTTTCAAGTCCCAATGATTTTTTTTATAGAAATTTCAAGTCGGAATGCTTCGTCCTTATCAATCTCATAGAAGCAAGTTTATCGACGAACCCATTCTGAACTAGTACTTAAGAACCTGATGTATCGTCACTCTCTCGGAAAATCAATTGTGATAGGTGCTCAAAACGATATGAACAGCATTGAAAGGCACTGAAACTACTTGGATTACCTAATAGTCGTGAGTTTGGAGATTGAGCAATACACATGCAATATACTAGAGGGTTGTTTCGACATACATACTATCCCGATCTGTGAGTAGAAAAATATAGATATTGAATATAGAATGAATTTCCTTAGGTGATGATCTCTTGCCTCAGAGATAGTAATGTTAGGAATCACCACCAATTAATAGAATATGCACCCAGCAATGAAGCTAAACCGTCCAATCCTTGCTCTTGCGAACATCGATCTACAAACCATTCCACCATTCCGTTCTCTCCACCTCAAACGCTGCCTTTAAATCTCCAGTCAACTCGCTGGTATTACCTACAAGAACATCGTATGCATCCTTCTCCACAACCCAAGCCTCTCTGACTTCATCCCAAAACGCTGCCGCATATTTAACTTCAATCTCAACTTCCACTCTCTTCTCCTCTCCAGCCTCCAGGAATACTTTCTCGAATCCCTTCAATTCTTTATTTGGCCTGCGGATAGATGGATTTTGTTGCTGGATATAAACTTGAACGACCTCTGCTCCTGAGACTTCTCCTGTATTCTTCACTTTCACTGAGATCTTAACCTTCTTGTTGATTTTCTCGACATTCAGATCAGATATTGCGAATGTGGTATAGCTAAGTCCATGACCGAAGGGGAACAGAACAGGTAAATTTAGTGCCTCATACCATCTATAGCCCATGTAAATGTCTTCACCATAGATAACTCTACCCCTCTCAGATCTAAAACTCAAAAAAGCTGGGTTATCTTCAATTCTCTTTGGGAATGATAATGGTAATTTTGCCGAGGGATTAGTTTTGCCGAAAATGACATCAGCGATAGCATTGCCGGTCTCATTGCCTCCATACCAGGCTTGAAGAAGAGCGGGAGTTGTAGATAGAAAAGGGAGGGCGACCGGAGTGCCAGATTGAATTACAACGACTGTGTTGGGGTTGAGGGGGGTGAGGGTCGAGATCAATTTATTCATGTGCAATGGAAGACCGAACATCTCCCGATCGGCTCCTTCGCCTTCCCAGTCAGCCTAAAAAATTGTTAGAAATTTTTCTTGCATAGATAGGAGACGACTCACGTTTAGACCAGCGCAAATGATTACTTGATCGGCTTCTTTGGCAAGTTCTGCTGCATGCGCAATTTCCACATCCGCATCGATGATTTTGGCGCCACCAATTCGTATGGCACCAGGACCAAATAGGACATTATTCCCTTTATCCAACTTACAAGTTGGTGAACTGGCAAACTCAACTTTGAGATGGTAAGTTTGTCCCTTCTTCAGTGATACAACACCTCGCTCTTCAACTGTACCACACGAGAAAAACATGGTTCCCCTGGTCTGTTTCGTTGTATTGTCAATGACTAGTTTGCCATCCACATACAGATTCGCAGTTCCATATACTCCTAAGCCGAATTCAAACTCACAGTCCTCTTCGGCAGTCATATATCCTTCAACATCAGCCCACCACAATTCGTTCTTCAGCTTTGGACATTGATAATCCATCATTAAAAGTTCTGTCTTGGTGAGTATTAACTCATCCGCTAGCTCTCTATCTTCAGTTGTTGGTGGCTCGTTATATGCTCGAAAAGAGAAACCTCTTTCTCCCTTGTCTGTCTTGAGAACTAAGTCCAGCAATGGGAGGTCCTTGTGTGCGTAAGCTCCTACGGTGTAGGATGGAGCTGATTCCAGCTGTGCACTAATACCGTCAAACGGTGTGACAGCGTAATATGCTGCCAGGGATGCTGATCCGCCTCCATGAAACGTCGCAACTTTGGCATTGGGACCGACAATTAGAGTCTATAGATATTAGCTTGAAATGGTAGTATAGTAAAACTGGATATGCTATTTTACCTTTTTATCTTTTTGAAATGGTAATACGCTGCCCTCATTTTTCATCAACACAATCGAGTCACCTGCTATCTCTCTGAGAAGAGCAGCTGTCTCTGGAGTATTGGCAGTCTTTTCCTCCGCATTTTCGGGAACATTCGCTTCTGCAGCACGGTTGACAGTATTGAGCACATTCCTGGCTCGCTCGTCAAGAATATGTTGAGGTACCTTTCCAGTGCTAACAGCTTGTATCAACATTGGACCTCTCCACTTGGTTGACCCCGGCATTTCCAAATCCAGCCCAGCATTGATGGCACCTGTTGTGGAGTATGTGCCCCACCAGTCACTCATAATACATCCACTCCAGCCCCATTCTCCACGCAAGATATCTTTAAGGATCCTTGGATTTTCACTAACGTGAGTCCCATTAATTTTGTTATAAGCACTCATGAATAACGCCGGCTTCGAATCTCTAACCACCAATTGGAATGGCAGCAGATATATCTCCCTCAAGGCTCTCTCGGTGATTATAACATTAACACCGTTCCTATTATGCTCCTGATCATTACAAACAAAATGTTTGATTGTAGCTTGGACACCGGTCTCTTGAATACCATTAACAAGTGCAGCAGCGCCTAATCCCGATAACACAGGATCTTCACTGAAAGATTCAAAACCACGGCCCCCTAAAGGCGATCTTTGCATATTGATGGTGGGCCCAAGGATCACATGTACACCTTTTACTTTCGCTTCTTCCCCCATCAAAACACCTGCGCGATGAAGGAGCTTAGTGTCCCATGTTGCAGCAAGAGCAGTGCCGCAAGGAAAACAAGCTGCTGTGATACCGTTGAAGAACCGAGTACCACGTACACCATTGGGACCGTCTGACACTCGAATCGAAGGCACATTGTACTTGGGAATGGCAGCGGTATGCCACCAATCAGTACCTAGATATTGTTAGACATCGTGACTTTGAGAGTTACAGAGATTGTGGATATATGCACCCGCTAGTAAGGAAACCTTTTCCACATTGTTAAGCTTTGAAAGCACATCCTCCACATCGAATTTGTTTGTCATTATGAGATATTAAGATTTGATTTTCAGCATTGGAAGTGACTCGAGTAATCTGATCAGATTCCAAGACAGAAAAGACTGGACAACATCTTGATATATAATGATCGATGGAAAGAGTACATGTGTCCGTACTCAAGTTTGGAAGGAAGCTTCCTAAATGCTTATGGAATGTCGGCCCCGCATCACGCTTTTTCACGCTTGTCTACCCTCGTTTGTCACATCATCGATTCATCCGCTCTTGCCAATATCCCACGAGGGATATTCCTGTTACTATTGGTGTATCAAGACGCTTCCTTCCTAGTTTCTGATTTATTAGATAGATTAGATAGTTAGAGTGACGGGTAATATTCGGGCACGGAGTTTCTTCGGAGAAAGTACTGAAGTTTAAATGCGGAAGAGTAGGTTCCGTTAAGAAATGAGAGCCGTGAAGTCATGTTTATGGTGAATGATCAACATACAAGTCTAATTTGTGGGTCAATGGCAGATGTCAGTCAGATGTCAGTCAGTCAAATATTGGGTTGAATTTGGAGGGTCAAAGTTATGCGGCAGGTGCGGGTAGGATGTTCCGCTCCTTATCGGCAATCGATAGGCCGAGCCACGCATTGGTCCTTGGCGTGGTTCATCTGTCAGCACGTGCCTTTGGAATAAACTTTGTTGAATATGTTGAGCCATGATAATTATATTCAGAAATGTGGCTGGACAAGCAAAGCGAACTCGGCAATGTGAATCACATTCATTGGACCAGAGATATCATTTACCCATGAAGGGGACGCGGCAAACATGGTATATTCATTCATTATATCATAACCAGGCTGTACAATCGTGAACTAATCCGCTACCGAAACTCCATCCTGACCTCATTCATGCAATATGAGTAAGTTGCCAAATCCTACTGTCCGAACATTCAATGTCCTGGGTCTTCTTGACTGAACAATCAGCGACAAAACCCCGTGGTGCTCGTGTCCCCTAGACATACTTCTGTTCTCATATTCGCGTTTAAGCCATTGTAGCAGTAGCTGCCCTTTGTCCTCTCTCCGAATTTCTATTCCTCCTTCCGCCACCTGGTCTTGCAAGAGTATACTTCGCAAACGCACGGGCGAGCGCTTTCTTGCAACTGACCTTTTGGCTGCCAACGAAAGAATCAATCGTGACAGCAATCGCTCGATCAATATCTTGCGCAGAGACATATTCAGAGAGTCGCATTCGACAGAATGCTTCACTGATACGCATGATAGCTTCAAGATGGCGCACCTAAGGGACATGTTAGCAATATAGCACGGAACGGGAGAATGCATATAGTTACAGTGATAGGATAAGCTCCAGTCGCTAACGATTCTCTTCTCATATCTGCAAAGAGCTTGGAAACTTTCTCTTCATCGATATTGTAAAGCTTTGGGCTACATCTTTCTCTAGCATAAAGAATGTATTTTCGAAGTAACTCTTGCTTGATCTCGCCTTCTTGTTTTGGCTCGCCACCATTAATAGCACTATCGCGAATTTCGGCATCATGCTCTGTTTCCATGGAAGCTTGATTTTCATCTGTAGGTTGGCTTCCTGGATGAGAACGACCATGGGAACCCACGACGAATCTGGCAAGTCTTTCGTCTTCTGCTGGATCCACAGTATCACGAACAACGCAGAGAATATCGAAACGAGACAGAATGGGCTCGGTGAGCTCAACATTCTGTGAGAAAGGAATGGTCGAATTGTAACGTCCACCAATTGGATTTGCTGCAGCAATAATACCACATCGAGCCTGGAGTGTTGTGACGATACCAGCCTTAGAGATGGAAATAGTTTGTTGTTCCATAGCTTCGTGAATGGATGTTCGATCTTGATCGTTCATTTTGTCGAACTCATCGATGAGACATGTTCCTCTATCTGCGAGCACCAAGGCGCCACCTTCCAAAGTCCACTCACTAGTAAGAGGATCTTTACGTACACTTGCTGTGAGACCAACAGCACTAGCTCCTTGACCAGTAGCAAAGACGGCTCTGTGAGCGGTCTTTTCTACATACTTTAAAACTTGAGATTTTGCTGTTCCAGGATCTCCAAGAAGTAGTACATTGATATCACCACGGATATGATGCTTTCCTTGAGCAACTTTGGCAACTCCGCCCATAAGTGACAGGGCCACGGCTGTTTTAATATCAGTATGGCCATAAATACTTGGAGCAATCGAATTGATGATTTTATCCACAATTTGAGGATCTCGAGAAAGTGCGCGAATCTCATGCTCATCTTCTTCTGTGAGTCTGAACCCAGCAAGTTGATCGTGAGATTTGACAACATTATTGGCCTCTAATATTGTTGCAAATACAGGGAAACCGTTTCGATTGTTCAATTGAGCATCGTAGTTGTTACGGTAAACACCTGTGACTTCAATCTCCTCGCCGGGCTTGGCTTTGTCGATAAGATCCCAGAGAAGAATAACTTCACGATGACGGGGCAGACGGCCAGCAGGAACAGTGCCCGGGGATTCTTGGAGGGTCAACTTTTGATAATTGCGATAGACAGTTTTCTCTGAGTTGAGGTTGAAAGGCCCACGAGATTGACAATTTGCACAGAAAGAAATCTTAACTTCGACATTAGACTCTTGTTGGAAAGGGCCAAGTCTTGTATGGCATTTGGAACAGTCGAACATGACATATTTCAATTGGGGAAATACACCACTTCGGCGAGTAACCACGCCACTGACTCTAACAAGACAATTTAAATGTGTTTGACGAAGTTGTCGTAAAGTGTAATGAACGGGTAAATCGGTAATTCGAACGTGAATTTCGGAGTGAATTTGTTGGTAATCGTTATAATGCAGAAGGGTCACCTCCATGGCAACTTCATCGAATAATTGAAGCATCTCGCCCGGAGCGTTAGCCAAGAAATATGCAAGGATGGCTTTTGAAGCGGATAAATGGTCATATGAAACCTCTAATGATTCTGCGTTAATCTCTCCCAACGTCTTGATGCGGCTACCATAAACAGAAACTCCATGATCATCTGTGTATTCGGTAAGAAAAGCTTTAAATTCTCTCCGAATAGTTCTTTGAACAGATGGTGTCGCAATCCACTCGACCAAGCTGGATGACTTGACGTCTTGTAAAGTCTCAAGAGATAATTCTTCTTCCATAATATCCTCTTGCATGTCTTCATCTTCGTCTTCATCATAATGATGGCGTCTACGTCTTGGTTGGTTCATTAAATCCAAGTCTCCATCTTCATCTTCATCTTGCAAGAAAGCAGCTGGCATACGACGCTGTCTAGCAAGCTCTCTATCACGGCGATTCAATTTGGCTTCGAGTTGTCTTCTGGCCGCAGCGTCGAGTTCATCGTATTCTCCTTCGTCGTCAATATCAGCACCCTCGTAGTTTGTATCGTCCCGAGCATTGTAATCTCGTTCATAATTGCCAGCGAAGAGATCAATTCCATCCTCGTCTTCCGCCATCTCGTCTGCATCATCGATATCGACAGCAATCTCAACATCATCTTCTATCTCGTCATCATCCTCGTCTTCGACACCATGCCGGATTGGTGCTGGTGGGGAGGACCTGAAATCTCCAGGCGGACTAGAAGGTGCGGCACCGCCCGGCAAATCGTCATCTTCTGGTTCTCTGGAGCGCTTACGACGATTTCGACCCCCATCGACACCACGGTTGGCCGATGACATGTTATTTCGTAGAGGGGAACTATTGGGTGCAAATAGTCAATAGAGTTCAGGGGTAAACAATAATTCGGAGCTGTGGGTGTTATGCTTGAGATAGCAAATAAATCCCACCTCATAGTATATTAAAAGACTAAAGTCTTGTGAAGTATCAGAAAGTGTTACAAGTAAAGTTAAATGAGTGCGAGTTGTTAATTGTGCTGAAGTTCACTTTGAGCAAAGTTGAAGTGCTTGCATAAATTAATGGTAGGGGAAAACACGTAAAATCTGCCGTCCGTACGCGACGCGGCAAGCTAAACCCATTGCAAGGCTGAGCGCGTAAAGTGGTTTTTGGCGTTTTGGCGGCCGCATCATTGCGACAAACCAGCTCTACTTCATAATTCAATTAATTTACCTACCTTTCACAACTCTTTTTGTATTTGACATCTCGAGTTAATAATGGAACACTTACCAGATTCTCAGTCAAATGGGGCCTCCTTAAATGAAACCGGCGCCGCCTCAAGAAGTCATAGTTTCTCTTCTCAGAAGTCGAACGATTCACATACAGCAGCTGAGTATGCGATTTCCATTCTTATGTATTCGCAATTGAATTGTATACTAATATATATATATCAGGTTCATTAGCACGCAACTGAAGCTCGAAGCGGAAGCGCGCGAAGCATTACCATATGTAATTATAGGGCTACCTTTCAATTGCACGAAGCCTTTACTGATTGGCTTGAATAGAGTATCGATACCTGCACAAAGCCTCTTGGATCTCTTCGACAAGTTCTGTTTGCTTGTTTGACATGCAATCCTGCTCCATCTAATGCATCTGATCCGTATAATCCTGCTGGCGTCTGTTATTCCTGTTCCATACAATGTCATGGCGAGCACAATCTCGTCGAACTATTCAATAAACGAAACTTTACTTGCGATTGCGGCACAACACGTTTTCCAAAAACTTCGCCTTGTAGCTTGCGCATCAATTCAGAGACAAACACAAAAGGCAATGTACATTCAGAAGCTCCAGATTTGAAAAACAAATACAATCACAATTTCAGAAATCGATTTTGTGGTTGCGGATGCGACTATGATGCTTATAAAGAGAAGGGCACAATGTTTCAATGCTTGGGTTTAAGTGGTGCTGATGAAGGTGGTTGTGGTGAGGATTGGTGGCATCCTGGATGCATTACAGGTTTAGGGCCAAATTGGTACGAGGGTATGAGCGATAAAGACTCGCCAAAGAAGCCCAAAGCAAACAATGAAGGCACGCTGGAATCTATTACAGAAGTTACAGAACCAATTGCAGTCGAACCAATCAAAGATGGAGCGAACGAGAAGCCAAGTGAAGTCGAGGCACCGAAATCCGATGCAGCGGTCGACCAAGAAGAAGACGAAGAAGAGGAAGAAGAAGACCCACCACTACCCCCAGGATTTCCCGACGAAGACGATTTCGAAGGATTCATCTGCTACAAGTGCGTTGATGCGAATCCATGGATCAAAAGATATGCTGGTGCACCAGGCTTCCTCTCTCCTGTTTTCAAAAGAAGTGCGGCTCCTTCTCCTGAAAGTGAGATCCCTCCCAAGTATACAAATTTCCTTGCGCCGTCAATCTCAGAATCTAGGAAGCGCAAGTCTGACGATGACGATGACGATATTTCGATTTCTTCTTCAGCTTCGAAGCGAATCAAGAGTGAGGAAGGAGAGAGGTCAGTGGACAAAGGTTCTAACGGCAACGATGATAGCAAACATCCAGCATGCAAATTGAAAGCATTACCAAAAGCACTCGATGGTCAAATCTCATTGTTTTTCACATCCGACTTTCGTGATCACCTCTGTCATTGTTCAGACTGCTTCCCAGAACTAGCAAAACATCCACAGCTCCTCGAAGAGGAAGAAACTTATGTGCCTCCAGTATCAGATGACGGAGATGGAGGAGGAAGCACAGTCGGGAGCGGAAGCATATATGATCGTGGCGAAAGTGCTCTCAAAAATGTCGATCGTGTTCGAGCGATTGAGGGTGTAATGGCATACAATCATTTGAAGGATAAACTCAAACCTTTTTTCCAAAAATTCGCAGAAAGTGGTCAAGCTATCAGCGCAGATGATATCAAAGAACATTTTGCTAAGATAAGGGGTGATGAGCAGGCTATCAAAGATGCTGGTGAAGGAGCCAAGGCGGATGGCAATCGGAAGGAGCAAAGTGGCTATTGATTGACGGGTCGTGGTATCTGTTTTTAATGATGTACGATAGCGAGAATAATCTTTAATGAATTGTTATGACTGATAAATTGTAAACTTCTAGCCCATTGAAATTTTCCTTCTTGGTATATCCATCGGCACTACTTTTCAATAACATTACATCAAGTTGCGTCACAACATTTTCTCAACAATTTTTAGACTAATCTGCCATCATTCAATCATTGCATATGCAAGAGTATGTCGACTTCACGATCCGAAGAACATACAGACAGTACAGAAGCTACGGTAGTGCAAGACGAGGTAACAGAGGCGGCAAATTCGGCTGGAGATGACTCGGCAAACATTGAATTACGCAATACTTTGTGTAGGTCACAAGAATTGGTGGCTGCAGACAAATCCAATGCATATGATCTTGAAGGACCTAAAACAGAGAACATGAGACCAGTTCTCGAAAGTGTCATGGGGGATCATGGGTTCTATTTGGGGTCCGAAAGACCAAAGAACTACGAGTATTTGACACACGAACTTCAGAAGGGACGAGGAAGTCCTCCTCCTAGCGAAGAACTATACGAATCATATAAGCATGCTGTTGCCACAGCGAATGGCGACGGATCTTCATTATTCGATGCAGTGAACGTTTTCTTCAAAGATTGGAACAATGATAGTGGAGACGAAAATCAAAACTATGGTCAGATTGTTCAGCAGGAGTTCACGTTATTCAATAATCGTGCTAAAGGATCACATTTAAGTTCGCCCGAGCTGCGCATGGTCGAAGGATTTCGAGACGGTAAAGAATATTTAGAACAATTGTATCGAAGTTTTAACGGAGCGATCGATATGATTAGGGACGGACGGGCACGATCATCAGTATTTTGCCATTTTGCAGGGGAGTGCGCGCCTAGTAATACTTTATGGGGCCGTGAGGCCCCTTGTCTAAGATACATAGGGGCGTTCCTGGTTGCAGAACGACGACTAGCTCTTCAATATACGAAGAGATTCTCCGCCAATGGAGAATACTACTTTTGTGACAAGCAAGATTATGCCAGCGTCATCACTTTCATGATGACTGAGTCCCACATTACTCTCTTCGCACACTTTTGTCGAACAGACTCGAACATGCAGTATAATAATGGAAAGTGCCTAGAATATCACATGTCTGAGATTCTCCGCCTTTCTCCAGCGATATCGCATGAAAAATTCAAGGAAGCATGGGCAGTACTGAGAAATGCCCAAGAACATTCGAAAGAGCGAGCCTTTTCGATGGCCCGGGAAATGAAGAAGAGTATGCATGTAGTTGCGTGGGAAACCTTTAAGGCAAATAAGAATTATGAGGTGGAAGAGGGTTTTAAGTCGATGGTGGCCCACAGGCGAAGGATGGGTATTGAGGCGTGGAGGTCTGAGGAGGAAATGATTCAAAGTAGGAGGAATCTAGATGGGATGGGGCCAGAAGATAGAGAAGCCTATTTCAAATTGCAGCAAGTGAGGTACGACTGAGTATCAATTGCGTGTTGAAAACATAAGATAATCGAATTCCAATAGCTACTGATCCGTAAGGAATACATACATTTCTAAAGAGAATGATTTTGAATGAAGATAAAATTTAACTATTGTGCCATAATCCTAGAAACAATCGACTCGCAGCAATCCTTCTAACAAAATATTTTACGTTAACAACACAGGCAACTTTTTACATACATTATGTTGACGAATTCACAACACAATCTAGCCCCAGGGAAATTTCTTTAATGTGAGGAAGCAGAACTAGTTCACCAGACTCATAGGTGAATAGTCTTGAAGAATTTGACAAAGAAAGTTGACGTTCACGAGGTTGGGATAATCTAGTATTTTGTCGCGAAGCCACTTCGATGTTACTGGGTCTCTCTGCATCTCTACCAGCGGGATGGTCAATGCTATTGTTGTCGGCCCAGGCAGATATGCGATTTCGAAGTCCAGGGTCTTTTGCTGTGGGTGGTTTTCCGAGATGTGTGACTTTCAATAGTACGTTGAAACGGTGCTTCCATTGAGAATCATGGCTTGGAAGGCCAGCTTCTCGGTTCTCGTCGGAGATTTTTTCCCGCTCGTCTATTTTGGGTGTTAAAGAAAATTTCACGATGCATGTAATGAACTCACCCAAATAACCCTCAAGTGCAGCAATTATGGGAAGGACTAAGAGGATACACGCAACAAATTGACCAAAGGTCCATGCATTTTGCTGTTCGATGAAGTCTTCGGTGGTTTCTAATCCTGGATATCGGGATATGTCCCTGAACACAAGGGCACGTCTAACGCCAAAACCCAGTCCAAGTAAAATTGGAGGAATAGGTATCACCCAAAACGATACAATTACAGTCTGAAAGGCGTAAGCTAGCCACAAACACGGTTTCTCGCGATCAGTGATGCAGAAGATTTTCAAACACCAGCTATAAATGGAAAGACTGAAACCATTCCGAATGCACTGTGGAATGCATTGGAGAAATGCTTGGAAGAAAAGGAAAGATAAGGTAGCGATACGAAGCTGGTGGTCATAGCCATGATATGGAAACTGGGCTGCACATCTTGCCAGACAAGCTGCTGCTTCACCAGATAGATGCTCGCTGTTGTACGATCTATACATGCCAGCTGTGTTTCCAAAGCTTCTCGCTCTAGATTGTGCGAAGATAAAAAGTATGAAGTTGCCGATGTATCCACAGAATCTAATTCCTGCCAATACGTGGTTTTGTAAAAAATGATCGCCCATGGAAACAAAAGCTACTGTATGTGTAAAGCTAGAAAACCAAGCTAGATACACGATGATGTTGTAATGGTAGGCACTGATTGTGTGAAAATTGTAGAGTCCGGCAATCATGACAGCGGAACTTGTTACTAGTTGTTGATCCGCAAGTGAAAGGATAAGGGGAGTCACGGCAGCGTTTATAAGCCTATACCTGGGCATGTTTGGTTTGTTGGAATATCGGAGAAGAATCCATCGTCTGCAAATTCGAACTTTCTCCTTGGCCGCGTGATATAGATTTGCTGCTGTACCCTTGTTGGATTGATGATCAAAATCGTGATATTCCGGCTTTGCATGTTCGGCATATTCATAGGAATGAAGCGCAAGTTGGCATGGAAGACGTATGACTGCGGCCGAGAGTGTTAAAAGCGCCGTGGCAAGGAAGGAGATGTAAATCTGTCCGTAGATTAGAAACATCATTCGGTACATTCAACAACTGATATCTTGAGTGAAACATACGCCGACTCCTTCAATCTCAATATCAGCTGAAAGTGGACCGCAATTATCTGGAAAATTGGAGCATTCGTTGTTATCGAGAAAATTGCTCATGTTTTTGAATTCGGTGTCGACTTGGAATTAGTTTCTGACTTCAGACATCCAGAGAATGAGCAGAAATAGATTCAATGTATGTAGCGGAGCATGTTCATGAGCCGGCATCAAGAAAAGAAGGAGCAAGCACGATCGCAGCTATGGGCTATTTTAGCAACAATGATATTGTACTTGTAAGGGTAAACACCTGCGAAGAGAATTGTATCTTGATTCATCGCACTTGCTCTGAAATAGGACCTCGCTCCAGAAAGACTAAAGGAGCCACAAGTAATGCACATGGTTCAGGATGAAAGAAATCTAAGATATTTTGAGTTCGTCATGTTACGATTGAAGGCAATCGACCAAATCAAAAGGACCGAGACGATTTCGATTTCACATTTGCTAACTTCGAGGTCGATGGCGAATCGAAGTCTTCAACCAGTTTTGCCAGTGAAACGAGCAGATCTGAGTGAAGGAATACATGTAACAATGCAGCTACATCTGCGACACTTGAGTGTATATCTTTTATGTTTTGATGCCACAAGCCGTTCAGTCAGTTCTGACATTTTCCATACATTCGTCGCTTGGTGACAGGGGAGCTCAGACGTAGGCGCCCCCACCAATCACAACAACGCCGATTCAGGACACGCGCACTAGTCGAATATGGTCTAGCATGGCATAATGATGGTGACCGCTTTAAATCCTTGACGTTGATAGGTTATCGGGAATTCTGATGATTGTGCGATAAAATCTAGAGAATTGTTTGAATTTCTTAATATTCAAAAAGAAATCAATGAATTCTTGAGCCATGTTGTTGGTATGTGTAGCTTGCTTCGAACCTATTTCTTTCGCTAATTATTGCTTTGCTAGAGAATTGGTCCAAAGGGCCTGCGAGTCAGGGCTTCCCGTCCTTTACACGAATTGGGAGCTCTCCGCGGGGGCTATCGTGCATATACGGCGACGGCGAGACGTTGGCAAGATGTATTTCACTCGCAGACTGAAGATCCAAACTCTTCGGCCATTTTATCTTCCCTAAAAACTACTCCTCGTGTTGCGCAGACACTCACGGAGAAAATTGTTCAACGATATTCCCTTGGACTTGCGAAGGATAAGGTTGTGAAGTCTGGAGGTATGGAATTCACATTTTTCACTAGAAGTTTTGGAAGACCTACGTCTACCGGTTTCCATTTGCTATTAAATCAACTTTGAATATGTACACATACTGACATTTGTTCACAGATTATGTTACCCTCTCACCCCATTACTGCATGACACACGAGTGAGTCAACATGTCCAGAGGCTCTACCTATTGATTCTAATGATATCTAGCAATTCTTGGCCCGTCGCAACCAAATTTATGTCTATTGGCGCAACCAAAATTCACAATACTAATCAAATTGTTTGCACTCTCGATCACGATGTACAGAACAAAAGCGAAACGAACCTTAAGAAGTACAAACAAATTGAGGAATTTGCACGCCAGCAAGGTGTGGACTTTTACCCCGCAGGACGAGGAATTGGACATCAGATTATGGTAGAGGAAGGATATGCTTGGCCCGGAACTGTCACTGTCGCTTCAGACAGTCATAGTAACATGTATGGTGGTATTGGATGCTTGGGCACACCTATGGTACGAACAGATGCCGCAAGTATCTGGGCAACAGGTCGAACCTGGTGGCAGATTCCACCAATCGCTAAAGTCACTCTCACTGGGATTTTGCCAATCGGAGTTACAGGGAAAGATGTCATTGTTGCACTTTGCGGTCTATTCAATAGTGACGACGTTCTCAACCATGCCATCGAATTCACGGGATCGGAACAAACAATGCGCAGTTTACCCATCGATGATAGACTTACTATTGCAAACATGACAACCGAATGGGGTGCTCTATCAGGCTTGTTCCCAATTGATTCGGTCCTCGAGAAATGGTTGAGATATAAGGCTACCACAAGTGCAATGTTTGCCCCAAAGAACGGCAAAGAACCACGATTCACACATGCTCGTATTGACGACTTGGTGCAAAACCAACTTGTAGCAGATAAGGGAGCTACCTACGCCAAATCTTTGTACCTCAACCTTTCGACACTCTCTCCTTATGTTGCCGGTCCTAACAGTGTCAAAATCGCCACACCCATCCGCGATTTGGAAGCGCAAAAGATCAAACTCAACAAGGCATACCTCGTATCATGTACCAACTCTCGTGCTTCCGATCTTGCTGCTGCCGCCAAGGTTTTCAAGGACGCTGCTGAGTCTTCCCCCGACAAGACTATTCCCAAGATTCCCGCAGGTGTCAATTTCTATATCGCTGCTGCTTCTATTCCCGAGCAAGAAGCTGCCGAAGAAGCAGGTGACTGGCAAGCACTTCTCGCAGCTGGTGCACAACCTTTGCCATCAGGATGTGGCCCATGTATCGGACTCGGTACTGGTCTATTAGAACCAGGTGAGGTTGGTATCAGCGCAAGTAACCGAAACTTCAAGGGACGCATGGGATCGACCGATGCAAAGGCATATCTTGCTAGTCCCGAGGTTGTTGCTGCAAGTGCTCTTAGTGGCTATATTTCAGGCCCCGGATGGTATCAGGCACCGATTGGCGTGAACAAAGTTGTTCTTGGAGAAGGTAATGGAAATGTCGAAGAAGACAAAGCCATCAGCATCGAGGAAGCACTTGAGAAACTCATCTCACAAGCAGAGTCGATCGTTGATGGAGCTGAGTCTAGTCTCTTTGGTACTTCCCCAAAGCCAGAAGAAACTGATTCCGAATCATTGACAGAGATTCTTCCTGGTTTCCCAGAAAAGGTTGAGGGTGAGATTGTTTTCTGTGACGCTGATAACGTCAACACAGATGCTATCTATCCCGGTAAATATACATATCAAGACGGTGTCTCGGTTGAGAAGATGGCTGAAGTATGCATGGAGAACTACGATAAAGAATTCCGCACGATCGCTCGTGAAGGTGACATCCTAGTCTCCGGCTTTAACTTTGGTTGTGGCAGTTCTAGAGAACAGGCTGCTACTGCCATTCTCGCCAAGAAGATTCCCATGGTAGTTGCTGGAAGCTTTGGGAACATTTTCTCCAGAAATAGCATTAACAATGCTTTGATGGGAGTTGAGGTTCCAAGATTAGTACAAAGACTCAGGGAGCACTTTGCTGCTTCTGCACCAGTGCCAAAGAAAGAGGTCACAGAGCCAAGTGAGAATAACGAAAGTCTTGACTCGCCAAAGCCAGCTGAACAAGCTGTGCCACAAGGAGAGAAGATTTTAACTAGAAGAACTGGATGGAAGTTTGTATGGGACGTTAGACGAAGCAAGGTTGAGGTACAGGAAGGTGAAGGTGGTGAGAAGTGGAGTCAGAAGGTTGGAGAGTTACCACCGAATGTACAAGAAATCATTGCCAGAGGAGGTTTGGAAAAATGGGTTAAGGGAGAGCTTGCGAAAAACTAAGAATGGTTCTCTTGAGTTGAGATTTAGACCTGTAACCGCCATGTACACTTGTTAACTGATGAATCAAATATATCAAAATACCTCAGTAGAGGCTGGCTGGTTACTCATAAGACGAAGATATCGGAAATGTATAAACAGAAGGGAAATACCCCACAAGGTATATAACAGTGAATGAGACAAGGCTCAGGTTTTGGTCAGGAATTAAAATCAAGACACAGACCCAGTGAGGATTGTGAAATCTTTTCAAGCAATACTTCCTCTTCTCAATTTCAAACAAATTACTACTGAGAGCCCGGGTCTTTAAAAAAGACTCTTTCATCTGCTTACAGCCCAAGATATTTCAATCAATTGTCTTCCGTTCTTGATCCTGTCTTTCCACAAATCTTCTCCCGAGCTTCAGAGTTAGGAAACGTCTCTTCCAAAAGACTCAAGGAACAGTCAAAAAACAGAATCAGCAGTTACAATGTATCTTTCTTCGTGGATCGCCTTGTCTTTGCTCTTTGGGTGTGCCATAGGACAAATCAACATTGAGACCTTGGTTCCAGAAACCTTGGTAACTTTATCAGCATCGGATGATACTCCAACCACAACTGCAATCCCGACTCTTGCTTCCCTACTCATCGATACTTTTACAGCGTCCAACTCTCTATCCACGACAGAGCCCCCCTTTCCGTCTTCTTTGACACAAACACTACGCAGTCTTAGTGAAAATGATTCACCAGCTACTTCAACCACTTCCAGCCCAAGCAAAATTCAAACTTCAGCCCCGCCCTTGAGTACTCAAGCCTCCCCAAAAGAAACAGGATTCAGCACACCAGACCAATTCAAGATTCAGATTCTCAACGCCCAAAATTGGTATAGAGCTGCGCATGGAGCACTGCGTCTTATTTGGAATGATACACTTGCTGGTTCCAGTTCAAAATGGGTCGCAGGATGTGTATGGGATCTTGAGGTATGTATTCCTTTCACATGGGACATCCATATTTTATGCGTGTTAGTACTTTAGCTGTTATACTTAATTACACTTGGAATTACAGTCAACTCCTGGTATAGGGAAATCATTTGTATCTGTTATACCTACCAGTGTCTTCGGAATTGTCAACTACTTAGGATTGGAACGACAATTCTATTATTGATCAGAACCAGAACCGACGAATTCTACAAAACAATTTACGCAGATGGTGTGGAAAAGCACGACGTCTGTTGGGTGTGCTTGGAATAATTGTCGTAAGTTTTCCTGGGTAGCTTGTATTATATTGGAATAATTGTGCTCATTCTTTATGCTTGAAACCCAAAATCAACCACCCAGTCGAAAGTAAGAATAATAAGCTAACATACACTTGCATCCTAGCACCCGGATCATCACCAGACTCCGCCACACCTGGAGTTTCCCTATTTCTCCTATGTCAATACTATCCCAAAGGCAACCAGGGAACAACCACAGACTGGGAAAATAACGTAGGAGGGCTAGAGTATGGGAGTCTAGGGGAAGGTGTCGTTGCTGCTGATGGGTTTGGGCTGAGTATTTCAAGTACTACAATTACTGCAAGCAGCGGAACAAGTGGAACCGATGCATCAAGTACAACTAGTAGTCTTTCCACAGCTGCTACCGGGAAAGACGTTGAGAGTCTGGCTAAGAAGCTGGATCCTGATCTGTTTATGATGACTATCAGCTCGGCTATTATCATTGGGTCAGTTGTCTGGTGTCCGTTTGCTTGATACCTCTGTTTTTCGTGGTTCAATTTGTAGATGCATAGCTTGGATTAGATATCTCTTCTTACTTAGACAACGGAATCCGGGAACGTGGACTTGGTACCAAGGTGACCAATACGCACACCGTTTAATAAGCATCACCCGCTAGCAAAGAATAGGTTTAGTCCACCTATACAATTTCAAGCCTCGATGCCAGAGGTGCAGGTGTAAATTAGTATGAATTACAATTAATGCTAATACGTCACTTGCATAGAATGAAAGTGTCGTTGATGACAGTGAAGCTTGGGCAAATGGTGTCTTCAAGGTTGTCCCTCTCATATGTAAAGTAACACTCATAAGGCACTTTTCCATTTCTTTGACACAGAAGTTAGATTATGAATGATGAGGTCTAGCCCAGCTGATGGAAATTCAATATACAAGACTGTGAAAAAAGGGCCTCTTTGATATCATTGAAACTCGATCGGAACAGTCTTGTTATTTTCAAGCAGGTAATGGTATCACGAAGGTTATAACACACCTAACTCATATGGCATGGGAAGAGATCGCATAATCTAGATATGTCTAGAAAAATGGTCGCATGTTTCTTGTTCGCATCCAAATGCTAGATTTCCAGCCTCAAATTCATAATCGTTACCTTGCTGCGTCTCATGATTGATAAATAAGACCCTCGAATCTTCCAAACCAATTCTTGATACGAAGTTGAATTCAGCCATCGGACCTTGACCAACGTGTACCAACAACCCAGCTTGGCATGTATGGTATGTTATTATCTCACATCAGGAAATCTAGTGGGAAATCTCACCAGTGTTCACAACGGGCGATATCGTCGGGGAAAGTAATCCTGATATAGGCAGATCAATATTGAAAATTTTGGTAAGATTCATTGCTATTAACTTTTGCTAACTAGTCACTGCTCAATTTGTCCCACGATTGAGCTTTGCTGAAATGTCAATTTTCCCTTCCCGATGGTAAAATGAGTAAATACCCAATCTAACACTTCACTCCTCGATGTAAGGAACGAAATTTCAGATTTGGATGTGCAAAACAAAATCCGACGCCGTTCCATCCCAGCTCCATCATAAATAACTCCCAATTGAAATTTGAGACCACTGTCATGAGATAGTTATCCTATCCCTTCCCATTATGTGTTCCGTCAAACAATCACTCATCCATTCACATTCGTCTAGAATCCCAGATATTTGTTTCCGATCTCGACAGCCTTTTCAACACCAGCTCCCTTCTCACTTTCAACAACGAATTTGCTCAATCCCATAGCTCTCAGTCCCTCTTCACCAGTCCAGGATTCAACTTCTTCGAGACCTGGTCGACCAATGTGCTCACTCTCGCCCTTTCCACCTGGGAAATCTGGACCTGGAACGCCAGAGAGGAAAGTATCGCGTTGACGGGCAAGTGCTTCGGCATTGATAGGGGTGAGAGGGCAGGCGGGAATATAGAGGACGGAGCTGTCAGATTTACCAGCGTGAGTTTTGTCTACGGCGTGGATCACTATTAAAATAATAAAATTAGTCAATGCAACTGTGCAAATATTATAAAAGGATTTGGGAGATATCAAACTTACTGTCACAGTGCCAAGCAACGTAGTCACCTGGGTTAATCTTTGGAATATGAACCATAGTATTCTTCAAATCCAGATGTGGGTGAAACTTTTCGGTCATCTCCTGTCCACGACTTGGCGTAGCACCATGAAGATCAGCGGTCATCTGATCAGTTGGGATCAATTTCCAATTCTCGGGACTGAGATATTCCGCAGTATACTCGTCCTCCTTTCCCTCCGGCAATTGTTTGATAGGCTCAAAGAAAGGTCGGAGCAAGAAATAAGCGGTGGAAAGCTTGATGAGTGGATTGACCTTCAATGTGCCTTCTCCAGGCGCAGTGTGGGACATGCCGAGCCAGGCCTGGAACATGCGAAACATGGAGCAGCTTCCTCCACCATGATAGAGATCGCTAACAGCGGGTACACGTGATGAAGACTCAAAAGGATCGAATTCTTCCCACTTTCCTTGGAAGATGGCGTCATATACTCCGTTGATACCGTAGCCATTGGGCTCCCAGCGTTCAACAGATCCACCATCGGCGTGAGGACCGAGAGCAAAGATGGCATCACCAGGCTGACGAATGCGAACACGATCAGCGTAGGCGACTGGTTGAGTGAAGGAAATGGGCGAGTTAGGATCGGCGGAGTGCCAGAGGCTGAGGAGGAACTTCTGGGCAATGATCATGTTTGGATGACCACGAGCTTTAACTTGTGGTGGTGACCAGTAGAGCTCGTAGACTTGTGGATCATTAGCTGGGAAGCCTGTTTTTGTCAGTTCTGTTTAATTATGATTGTTTGCTTGATAGCCGGGAGGAAGATTGTCAATCAAATCTGGGGAAACATGGATGGATAGAAATTTAGAATGAAACCATAAAGATAACTTACCCTTAGTACTAGGGTTTAATTTAACATAATCTTCGACCTCCTGCTTATAACGTCTCGCAGTTGTCTCATCCACAACACCACTAATAACAAGTGCACCCTTGTCTCTCATATCTTTCAACTGCTCCTCACTTACGTTCTTCCCAAGAACATCCTTGAAAGTCACACTTGGAATGATTCTCGGGCCCAACTCAGCGACTTTTCGATTCTCAATCGCAAGTTGCTCAATAAGGCGAGTGAAAGATGCTTGAACGGCCTCCTCGTGGCCGCGGATAAGGTTGCGCTTGATGTCAGCAAAACGTTCCGGAAGTGGTGTAGGCTTGGCGCCAGAGAGTGAGACGAAGACCGAAGAGATATCTCCTTCTTCCTTTGGGTTTATGGCATTCATGGAAGACATGCTGACTGATTTAGCTTGTGTTGCGAGGGTGCGAATTGTGAACTTGGGTTTGTAGTAGACAAGAGAGGATATATGGATGATAAAATTAGGTTTGTATTTAAGAAGAGAAGATGCTTGGCGGCATGAGGAGACGAGGCGCGTGTGAGACAACATGGAGACGAATGCGAGCTTGTGATTCCTTTTTGGGACCTGGATTTGTGGTGAATGCTCCTTATGCTGAGAATTTAAGCTGATAACCAGATACAATGAAATTCTGGAGTGAATGTCGTGAATACTTCGAAAACAAGAAAGATTTTGGCTGAGCGCTTGCAATTGCTCGTAGATGAAAGTTTATATAGAGGTTATTTGGTCTGTAGTATGGAATCAGAAAATCTTTTTAAATATAAATGTATTCAAAACGTCAGTACAGTTCATGCAAATTAGTAAATCTCGCACAGTACGAATTGTTCTGGCGGCATGACCAATTCGAGAAGTCCGATCAATCGATGCCCGCGGTGTGGCTGTGGCTGTGGTAGTGCGCATTGGAATATGCAGGTGGATCCACAACAAATTATGGCGGGGTAGCATGAAATCGAATTTGGGAGGTTTGCCGGGCAATTTTCAAAATGAAGCTTTGGTATGATTTGATAACGGGGGCGGTGATGACAATAACCTCTCAAGAATTCACTTCGAAAATGCGACGTTACAGATGTAAATTGACTGAGGCTTGAACTGCATCCGACCTCCTCATATATCACCCTGCTCAATTGATCAAGCAAAAGTAATGAGCCGGAGTCAATTGTCAGTGTGATATTTCTCACTGTATTCACTCACTACTGTTAGAGTTGGAGCGTCGAAATAGATGCCCACCATGGTATGTTTGATATTCATATCAGAACATCTCGATAAAAACAGCCAATAATGGGACAGCAAGAGCCGTAGCGACCCGAATTCGAGGCAGTGTGACAAATCAGTTGTGTACGACGCAAGTTCGCATCCACTCGTGCCACAAAATTCCGATTATCATGCTGTGTTGCTCTAGTTATTAGTTTCTAAGGGTGCTGTATGAGGTGGGCTTTAGTAGAAAAGGAGAATGCTTGGTTGGCATTGGAGAAAAGGTCAATTGAGCTGTTGGACATATTTGAATTGGGACGATAGGGGCAAAGTGCTTGTTACTACTTAGTTAGAGAGACCAGGCAACAAGCAAGATCCATAGGGGCGAGACAATATCAATATTGTGTGCATTCGGCAATCGCTCAAACGTAAGTTGAGCTCATCGTTTCCAAGTGGTGGAGTTCATGACAGACAACGGCAACAACTTCGCCATGCCCCTTCACGTACTGATTCCGGAAAATTCGGCTTCCAGCACAATGCATTGCGAAGAAATAATGGGGGAAAGAAAATCAACGGCAAGCTTCTAAGCTCTTCCTGCACTTCAGAACACCAATGCAGCTCTACTGACATACTTCAATCGTCGGAAACAACAGCGGTGGGCAAATTGCGATACAAGCTACATGACAAAGCCAAGCTTAGAAGGCAGTGATTGAGCAGCTTGTGAAGACTTCCACGTACTTTATTAATAGGAATCAAGCCGTGCATAACTCATATAGTCGGCCAATCGTGCAGCTGCGTTCTCACAGATTTTTTATATATCCAGATTCCAGCCCGAGCAAGTTCTCTCGAAGACATGAGCCACTTGCCCCACTAAATACCGAGATGCCTATCAAGTCCCGTCCTCGGACAGATCTTGTATTAAGACGCTGTCACTCTTTTACAATGTTTCATGCATATGGTGCAGATGATTTAACGAATGCGAAAGGTTGAGATATTGTATCGGTCTGCTTGCTTCGAGTAGGTAGGCAGGTCATGGAATTGATCCATTATATACTCCGATGTCGAATGAGAAGGCGGACGCTATCTAGTCTCAATTGAATTCATAAGATCTATTCGCAGAACAGATGGCGTCAATGGGCGACACGCGGTTGTCGGTGCTGCTCACAAACGTCGTCTTAGTGGTTTTCGATTGTCGCGATGAGGTCATATAAATGATTGAAGCAGCACGCCATCACTGGAACATATCTGGTATTGTAGTCCAATACTTAGATGTTAGTATCCCGTCAATGGACGGGTCCAGATTTCACAATCAAAACTTCGTTCGAAACTCAATATTTTAGTTCAGAGTGAGATCTATTTAATCCAGAATCCTCGGTCCGAGACTGATTATGTAAGGCTATTTTTTGCTCAGCTTATCTCAGCAACCTTTGCAGTTGTCATCGGTCGTGCAAAAACTTTCTTCAAAGCCTTTCCGGCTGGATAATTGAGCTTCAAGAACGATTTGTTAATGATCTACTCGGGAAAATTGAAGGATGTTATTAGGCCTAGCGCAAGATTACGTTGTGTGGCTTTGGAATTCGATTTTTACCCTTAATAGATATCTGACCTCCAGGTATTATTCTCTCGTCGGCTTGAAAGCAGAACATTAAAAGAGACCTATGGGCTTTTCTTGCGTCTTGATACTGGTAGAAAGATAGATGGTGTATCAAGGACTAAATGAATTTGGCAACTCCGCTCACGATTAAGGTGGATCTTCAGCCTTTTCACGTCTCTATTGCATGTCTCCGAAGATTTCCCCTGTGTCTTCATCCGAGGTGCTGCCAGTTGTAAGTCTTACATAGTGGAAAGTTTGCTACATACTCTTGTTGTGTAAGATCACACGGCCATCTGAAAGACTTCAAGAACCTTTCTTTCGAGGCTGCTGGAAGAGCTTGGTCCACTTTATTTTGCATTTGACCTTGGCCGTTGGACTCTCTCATCTACAAGAAACAATAGGATGAGATCACCATAATAGGCTCTCTCAAGCAGTAATGATTCCGGAAGAAATTAAATCCGTCAGATGAATCATCTCCGACAGAAATTGCACTCGCCACACCACACTCCGACACAATGTTTAAATTTGTAGCTTCCGACGGGACTGGATCCATCAAGAGGCAACAGGCGCAAAAGGCATGTGACTCCTGCAGAAAGCGGAAGAAGCGATGCAACCATGGTAGTAATGCAACTCCAACGAATTCTACGCCTGTGAGGGCATCTAGCCAAGTCAATTCTGATGAACGGGTTTCTCAAGCAGCGAAGCTATACACTGCAAGTATCCTCTCTTGTACCACGGATGCCGGATGTCAAAGCACAACGTCTCATGAGGAGCCTGACTATATCTCTCCTGTTGCATCAACTTTAGCTAGTAGTGATCAAGACCTCGAAGCTGCTAGGATCTTGAGCGGTGGTACTCGTACTCAAGCAAACACGTCTCACTCCCAAGAACCTACTGGTGTTCAGTCTCGATTCATCGGAGATTTGAACCCAGAATCAATTTTTCTGGCTGCTACCAGTCCAGATGCCATTCGTGGCGTATTACCGGACAGCGTTGGAGTATATCTCTCTTCAACACTCGGGAAAAAGCCTCATCATTTCTCGAATTTACAACAGACAAGCTCCAACTTATTCTACGGATGTCCGCCCTTGGTCCGTAATGTTCTAGTGCCTCTCATAGAACAGGAGTGTCTATCAACAATGCCACCTATACCCCATCTTGAAGCATTATCTCGGATATACTTTGAGAAAATTAACACCATCTTTCCCATCATCAATGAGACCATGTTCCGCAATCTAGCCCCTTCAGTCCCTTGTCGAGCTTTGTTGGAACAAGCCATTTGCTTGGCAGCATCCAAAAGTTTCGCTGCTGCAGATCATCTCATACTGGACGAAGCAGGCCCCCCAATGACCTGCAAAGCGTTCGGCGAAAAGGTGTCTGGTGCAATGAGGTTGACCATTGAACTAGGCATCGTGACCGACAAAATTGTCCTGATTCAAGCCCTCTGCCTCCTCTCTCTATTCATCGATAACTCTAGCAGTGAGGATCTTGCATCTCAATTCTCTGGAAAAGCTACTCATTACCTTGAAGGCATGGGATTACATCTCGAAGGTCAGGTGGAGGATGCAAGTGCAAAGCTTCTATGTTGCGTATATGCGTTAGATCGCATGAATGCCGCATTCCATGGCCGCCCTGTCTTGATGCATGAACGAGATATGAGGAGAGATCTTTACCAATGCTTCAATCAGCAAGAACCTTCCTTCCGTTTATTTCTAAAGATCATATCATTACTTGACGATGTCATCGAGATATATCGACCTCCGAACCAGTCAGGACAAGGCGGTATTGATGTTCAATTCCCTGCTTTTGAAGAATTGGTTCTGGATTGCGCAGCTGCAAATATTGGTACTTCCTCACTTGGTATGTTATCCTCTAATCACCTTACTTCTCCTGCTGAGGTTTCCGACATTCTGGATAGTAGTCCAATAACTCGAGTTCTCTAAAATGTCATTTCGTTCGAAATAATGAGTTCTTGTGAAATCACAAAATCGTCTTGGATGTTCTGAAGTGGTTGAATTTTGTGTCCCGCATGACTGCTTGCAAGATTTGATTTCGAATCGACGCTGATCATTGAATGACACCCAAACTTTCAAACCAAGTCTTCCAGTCGGGAATATTGAATTGCTACATTAAGTTTTGTTCATGATTAGTGTTTACTTTGAATGATATTTTTACTCATGCAGTGTCTAGCAACGATTGAAATCTTCTATCACAGCATCTCTATCATCTCTCATCGATCCCATATTTGGGCCGAACCCAAGCGTTCCACACCTTCTTACCTTCGACAAGCCCTCTCAACCAGTATTCTCTCATCCACTACTCCTCACGAGCTACAGGACCAACTTGTTCTATTTCCTTTCGTACCATACGCCATATCGCTTTCTCTGAGCATTGCCTATCGAGAAATGCGCCACAACAAACTACCTGTTCATCGGATGCGCGCTCGAGGTCAATTTCAAGCTAGTTGTAGGCTTTTGGAAGGCCTTGAAAGTCAGTACTCTACTGCTGCCAATGCTGCAAATATGGGAAAGAAAATGCTCAGGGAAATCGATCGAGTATTTTCTACCGTCTCTTCGGAGAACAAAACTACGGCACCACCGCAAGATACAAGCAACACCACCGAGAATAGTTCAATGGTCAATGATCACAGTACTTCAGTAACAAATACTGAGAATCGTAAGTCCTACACTTTTCAATTCTGTATGATTTGCTTTGACGATGGGTGTTCCCCTCCAACATGTCAAGCAGTCCAGTTGGTTCATTGTTTGGCACAAATTCACTGTTCAGAATCAATCCAATAGAATCTTATCATCTTCCAAACCAGTCCAATGTCAAAACACATTTCAATCCTCGAATCTGACCTTCAAAATAGAATCTATTGCGTCCACCTCCAACGCTCAGATTACTCCGTCTATCGCTCCAATATATACTGGGATGCAAGACTTCGACCCATCACTCTTCGACCTTAATGCTACAGGTGATATCGATCTCTTCTCTATGTTCGACCCTTCCTTTGATCTTGTCGGCTTCGACGCTTGCCTGGAAGGCAATCTAAATCTGGGATTTCCCACCCCAGCACCTCATCCCTAACAAAACTTAATCCATAATTTGATGGTTGATGAACATCTGGAGGCTTACGTCTGCCGAAATGAGGTCGGATAGGTCAAACTATAATCTAACGATAAAATATCACATTTCTGAATCTATACACGGCGTTTTAGTTGTTCAAGGTGGTACCTTAGTTTTGAACAATTAGTTTATTGCAGCCTTAAATTCTTTGAAAAGCTCAGGATTTTGTATATAACATTATGCTACTTGTCAGTGCGGATTATGAATCACATTGATGAGCAGCGAAGTTGCTCGCTGGGCATAGTAACAGTATAGGATCTATACTATCTTATTTGCACGTGGTTCAAGACGGTTGTAATGTGGTGTTCTCCAGATAGCTCCTGAATGGTATTAAATACGAGGGAGTGGTTATGTAGATATCGGGAGATTAATGTTTCTATGAGCATGCATCCAAAGAGCATAATTAAACTTTATTTCCTCATAGAGGGTCGCTTTTAATGCTCTCCCTCATTGCGTCTGGCGACAGTTAGAAGACATCGTTTTACAAGATTCAATCTTGCTTGTGTTCTTGCCACGTCTTGTGTATTGATAATTTTTATGATGTATTTGTAGTCTCTATCAAAGAACCAATGTCCATCATGTCGAAAGTCTTTCTAGCTCTACTCGACCATTCAAGCCTAGATACCCTACTGCTTATTATCTTCCTTCAGGTCATGCTGTGAGCTTATGCTGCTTTTAGATCAAAAATTGAGATCTTAAAGAACCGGTATAGCCATGTAAATCTGTTTCAGTACTATACTCACCACACTACCACCGAGCTACATAGCAATAATTGATAAGTACGATGATACAATTTAGGAAGGAGTGAAAGACAATTCACATGGTGTTGATCCGCTCATCACGTGAAATCACGTTGGCTTATATAACCTTAATCGAGCACGTCTTTTTCATCACCTTCCTATCTTGATTATCCTTGCATTGAAACGAGGGAACGACAGTTGATAGATATATAGCATCTTCATCGAATGTCTTTCTCGCAAACATGAACAGATCTTTGACCTCAAATTGCTCAATGCCTCCAAAAAATTTGCAGGATATGGTATCTATCGTGCCGTGCAACCAAGTTGCTTCCTTTGGTCGATCTGATGGTAGTAGCAGGAGACTTGGAATCTGTCTGACGAGCCTCCTTTTCATGCCTGCCCTACTCAAGACTTTTGAGAAAAACAAATGTCGTTCGAGTCTTTCACTCTTTGCCACTCTTCATGGGTAAGGCTACAAGACGCCGAGACTACCTTTCGATCATCAACCGAGGCTTTTATCCAACAGACATACCACGGAAAGTTGTTTAAAGCGACGCGATATCGTATATGCAGCAGACCGTTCGATTATGGATGCGAAAAATCACTCTATCGTTGCCATTCGATTCAGCCCCGTTAATGGTGTCTCGCAACACTTTACCAAGATACTCAATTGGATGATTCGCCATCATGGTTATTGAAGCGGTAATAGCTATTCATTTTGATTCCTATCGGCGTCACAAACCAAAGAGCCCAAAGGTTACATATCAGAATATTTGAAGCTTCATTGAATTTTTGATTGGATATTTCAACACACATTTCACAGCTGGATGAAAGGAAGTTTGGCTTATTCTCTGGTGATGGAAGCCAATAAAGCCATTCAAATGGAATCTTGCGCCATCATTCGTTATAAACCATAAAGCCATGCCAGCCAAATCTTCATTCAGTTACGATATGAGAGGGGCAAATCCAAAGCGGTCGCATGCCAAGTCCAGATGAATACGATGCGTGGCCTTGTCGAAGCTCCTCGTGAGATTTCTAGACTCTTTTTTCGTTCTACGTCTTATTAATGCGGATCTCAAGGATTCAGAAGCCTGACTTGGAGTTTCACAAAACGATGTAAGGGATACGAATTATCTAAGATTAGATGGGTACAGGTACTACACTCGACGTTTTGGTCGACTTGGCACTGAGGTCGACGCCTTCGCGGATTCAAACACTCATGGCTGGCGTCATTTTTCTAGTAACCTTAAGCAGTGGCTTTTCTAGCAGGTTCAGATGCACAAATACTATTGACACGGAATTCAACTCTTTGTTGATATTATGAATGGCTGAATGTTAACCGCTTTCCTTCGAGTTTTATAATTTCAAAGAGAAAGCCCCGAAATACATGTCATGATATATCATATGACTTTCGTTTTTACAAGCTCTAATAATCACCAGTTATCATGACATATCAGGCGGTGGCGGTGGCTCAGCTCTGCCGATCAACCACACCATCAAGTTAGCTGCATAAATTAATTATGCATGCATTGCGATCTGTTGCACAAAGAGACAAGTAAATTGGGGGGAATAAGATCTAGAGTTTGAAAAATGGGATAGATTTAATTGGTCTAGTAGACGAAGGAATACTTTCAATTTTTTGCATCTTATCCTCCAAATGCGCCATTCCTGAAATCTGACACCTAGAGCTTGCTTGCAGCGGGTCCAAACCCGTCAATCCATTCACAGCCGCACTGTCCACTGGTCGCATTGTAGACAGGGTGTTTCTCGGCAATGCAAAGAATATCGGGGCATTTCTCGATGGACTTGATGGTGTCCTTTGGTTCGAGACCTGGAATCCATTCACATTCGCATAGACCAGTCGTTGCATTAATAGCGGGCTGCATCTCCGAAATGCAGAAGATACCAACGCACGGATCTATTGGCTCAAGGGGTGGCTCGAGTCCATCGATCCATTGACAGGTGCATTTACCTGTCTTTGCATCATACACGGGATGTTTCTCGGAAATGCAGACTGTACCGGAGCAGGTCTCATCCCTGACAGGTGTTGCCGGATTGTTTGGTTCTGACCCTGGGATCCATTGACAGGAGCATGAGTTGCTTGCTGAATTGTATGTAGGCTTTTGCTCTGCAATGCAGAAAAGGTCAGGACAGTCAGGGTCGCATTGGCACTTCTTGGTTTCGGGGTGATATACACGATGATTTCCTTCAACACACTTGAGGAGTGGACAAGTTGGAGGGACAGGGTTATCAAGTTCGCAAGTGCATTTCTTTGCATCGGGCTTAAGAACTTTGTGGGCACCGCCAGCGCAGAATATTATGTTTGGGCATATAGGAGCGTTTGGCTCACAAGTACATCGCTTGGTTTCCGGATGGTATACAGGGTGAGTGGTGGATGCACACCGAATCGTTGGGCACGTGGCAGGATCGACTTCTCTAATCTTATTGCCCTCGCATTTGCAGGTTGAACTTTCAGGATGCCAAACAGGGTGAGACCCAACCAAACAAGTTGTCGCAGTAAGGCAAGTAGTCTTGGTCTGGTCAGGTACGCAAGAACACGTCTCGGTCGTAGAGTCCCATAGTGGATGATGTGCAGTAATGCAATTTGTTGTTGTGTAACAAATCTTCTCCCCGTCATCTAGTTTGCACGAGCAAACCTTTGTTTTGGGGTTCCAAAACAAGTGAGTTCCAGGGATACAAAATATCTTGGGACATCTGGCAGGACTATCCGCTCTTGCCTCTAAGAAAGATTAGATGGTTAACATGGAAATCATTCAAGAGTACGTACCCGCTGCAGATCCTGGAGCTGCGAGTACACCACTCAGCCCTACGGCGAGAAAATACAACAAAGATCTTGAGCGCATCTTCTCAAGAGTTAAGAGAACCAAGATTTGGAAATAGACTAGAAATATTTCAGATCTTGAAGAAGTAGGTATAAAACTATGAGTTTGAACTCTTAGATTTTGGATCGTTTGTCCGTCGTTGTCTCCTTATATAATATCTTGACTGTACCACAATACTCACCACATTAACTTTAGGGTAGCTGATCTCAGCAAGCAAAATAAGGTCCTCTTGGCATCTCAAGAATGCTAAGACGCCAAGCCCGAGTTCTGCGGAACGACATCCATTCAACTACCCCACATCAGCCAAGATGTAAGGGGCCGGGATATAATTCCTGTCAGGAGAGAACTACATTCCATTATGTCACGAATCGAGAAACGGGTGATACAAAATGTCAGTTGGAACCCAAGATGACACGAGAATTTCAAATTTACAGCTCGAAGAGGTTCTTTACATTGCTGTGCGTCATATCCTAGCAAAACTTGTGCTCCGCGATGAGGCTGGATTCTGATATGGATCATCAGCGTAAAGAATGCTTGAAATGTCTCACCCCTTACCTCCGTCTTACGATAGTTAGAGTTAGATTTCTAGCCAAATACTCGGCCTGATGAGAATAGACTTTAGTTTCGTCTACATTGTGGCTGTTGCTTGTTTTTTGACCACTCACCTCTTCGGTTGTATATTTTTTACGTCGCACGTGTATTTTTAATGACATGAGATTATGCTCTCCTATTTTTTGGTCTTTTCAGCATCCATTCAATAAAGGTGTTGTGTCGTCTATCGGCAGATCATCCGTCTTGCGTCAATCTTGCATATTCGGTTAACGGAGCACGTTTTTAAATAGGCAAAATGAGCTCGGATATGCAGCCGTGAGAAATTTTCAAGCTCAATGGCATCTCATAACGTTTCGTTATGGTTACTCGGCTTAAGTAGCCATCGGGATAGAATATCTAAGTTCATTTACATGGACCGAATGGATATCGTAGTTTCTTTAAATTGCAAATCTATGTACACGAATCGATTGAACATTAGATGGGAACTCGAGTGAGCCTGCCAAGCAGCAAATGGAAAAGTTTTCTAGAATGAATCGAAGGAGCTCTTATTGGGGTGGTATCCGTGTCTAGCCTTCATCCTCGTTTCCTTCTTCATGATTCGGACAGGAATGTCATCCAGAATTTCACCTCTCATTACAATTGGAACGTCAAGTTTCAACTCCAGACAAGGAGCGGAGCGTTCCGGAAATGAAGCCTACCGAGCAACAGTTTTTTCTCCATTCCAGGCTTGGAATTAGCATTCTTTTTCTCTAAATCTCTTCTTGCGTGTACGGTGGTGCGTCTTCACCCAAATCTCTCGCGATCTTTCTTTTCTTTCTCGTACTCATTGTAATCATCCCAATTCCATGCATTCCTCCATAATCTAAACTGTTCACTAGATCTTTAGCGAATTTCATCCAGTGTCCCAACAACTCAATCCATCCTCTTTTCCCTCCATCGTAGAGCCTGGTCAAATATCTGATTCTCGCAAAGTATCGTTGTGTCAATTTATATTGTGTATCATCCCATACCCGACGACCACTTGCAAAAGCACAAGCTAGATCTAGCAGTCCTGCGCAAGTTATCGCATACGATGATAACCCTGGATTCTGATGAATTCCTGAAATGGTTTCTTGGCAACTTTCAACGTCTCCTGAGATGAATTCGATACGAGCTTGCGATATCACGTTGATTTCTCTTTGGTCCTCAGTATCAATCAGGGGAGTGAGTTGATCAGGGACCAAGATATACATCAATGCCATTTCTAAATGATTCAATATAGTACTGAGACGAATGGCCGGATGGGAAAGTTCTATCTGCCATTCCAATTTGACTTTATGTACGAGTGCTCGCATTGCCCGATTGAATCTTAGAAGGTCAATTCGCCGGTCTGCTGAAATAGTATGATTTAACTCGTCGATGCGTAACTGATTTTGCATCAGGCTAATATGCTTCTCTGTCGCCTTCATTAAAATTTTAAACATTCGTACTCTGTTGTTTTTGTCTTTTAGGTTGTTAATTTCGTTGTTCTCGGTCATCATAACACACTCGTTAATGCTCTGTCGTTGCACAGTTGAATCTAACCAAAAGGCTGCGCCATACTCTGCAGTTTTTATCAATTTGTTCCCAATTTGCAAGATGTGTTTTTCTTCTGGTGTACAATTCACTGATTCCTTGAGCCGCTTCATATCATCTACGAATGGTTTGGATTCGTTTTTTAATGGCGAGAAATTCACTCGCCCTGTAATATCATTTCTACCCCATACATATTCATCTTCGACTTTGATTCCGACACTAGATCTCATAGTCCGATAGTACAATATCTTATGACCATATGGCCGGACTGCATGCTCCCAAAATGACATAGACTGTACATCTTCATAAACAGTCACTGGGATAGGGTGTAAGTATTTATAATTTGGAGGCTGTGGATCCCCGTCGAGTTGAGGGTTTTCGATAGAGGATGTATAGGTAAGAATCATCTCCATCGTTGGCCAAGGTGTGACTAGCCAATAGCCCAAAGGACGATTTTTCCATATCGTACCATTGAGCATTGTTTCTATGTATCCTCCGTTGGTCTGATTACAAGTCAGAATTTACTCCACAGTTCTTTAACTTGATTATTGGGTAATCCAACCCACGGCATTTTCATACGAGTATCCAAGCTCGGCCAAAGCTTCTTCTTCGAAATATGGTTCGATTGAGGCAGGCGGGTTCATCATTTTAACCTCTCGACTGGGGTAATTTTTAACCATTTCTATGGCGTGAATTAATTCATGCACTATCTATAATTTTTAGCGGTTACTATAAGGCATTACAAACTTGTTATGATACCAGAATGCACGAGGGGTTTGGAAAATCAACTTACTACAACGGCTATTCGCCACGATATTGCATATCGTTCGGCATGGTTCAAATATTTATCTACAATCAATGGAGTGATAAAATCAACGTTCAGCATGAGTACGATATTATAGCGTGGGGTTTCTCTATCATCTTCTGGATTCCGCTTATTCCAGCGAATGTCTGCGAAGGCAATCGTGTTCTGATCAGGATACATGTTCTCGTCGGCGTCCCCGCCAATCTCCCCTGTGTATGGATTTTTACCTGGTTCAAAGAACGAGAACAAAATGTCATATTTGTCCAAGAGGGCATCACCTAATGTTTTATCACGGGCTTTTCTAGCATCTTCAGTGCTATGAGCTGGATGTCGAGGAGAAAAATATTGGAGATCGGGCACGTCAAGTAGGTTTCTTTCGGGTGGTATGGGTTTGCGAGGGGCAAGAAGTAAAGCATCAAACTGTCATCAAAGTCAATGCTGACTCTAATCCAATAAGTATACGAAAATATTCATCGCATATCAAGAATCAAGAATAGCTCACCCAAGGTAACATATGACTCGACAACAAATACTGATTTGCAATCGTTAAACTCGGCCGCAAGGCTTCCCACACACGTTCGTTCCCCGAAGTCCAACTTCCATACATTTCACCTTCTTCGTCTCCACTTTGTCCCCAGTCATCGATAGTAATCGCCTCTTTTCTTCCAAACATTCTACCTGTACTGTCCCATTGTGTCCTTCGCAGTAAAGCGAGGATAGGTACATCGGACAATGTAGATGCAGCCATTTGGCGTTCACTTATTGCATCGAGATTGATCAATTCGCGGGTGGTGAAAGAGTGAAGACGATTTCTTTGATCTGTCTCAATCGTGTCCCAGTCGCGTCTTTGGTCGGATGGAGTTCTGGATGTTGGGTTGGTGGAAAAAGAGGGGAAGGGGGGGATCAGAGTCGGGCGCGGAGTCAGATCACTGTGTCCGTCTGCAAAGTCGTAGTAGCGAAGAGCGAAGAAGGATCGTTTTGGTGGGGGATCGGAGTGCATTTTGGAACCTGTGGTGGAGGACATTTTGCACTGATATTGGATATTCGAGAATTTCAGTAGAGTGATAAATTGACTTGTTCAGAGACATGCAACTTGAGATAATGCTTTACTACTGTCATGCTGCATGATTGGATTTTCTTTGTTGCCTTTGTTTGGACCCTGGCATTTGTTGCCGTTTCTTGTTAGGGGCTTTGAGCAGTCGCTTCACTGAGGACATGGGGTTTTTCTTTGTTTTATCCGTTTCTTTCAAACATTCAGCAGAAACCATTGCATTCGCCAATTCAGGTGCTCTGAATAGATGCACGGCTACGTTCGTGATGATGAGAAAGTTCATCAACTTTTAAGATGTCTGTATGAATTGTAGTACAGAGAATACTGTCTTTGTGGATAATTTTTATGAAACAATTTATGGGAATGAATTGAACAACATTTTTAAGACATCTATTCAGTTCATGGTGAATAACATGGCTGATTATTTAAGGAAGATGATAGCATCTCATCTCGACACTGTCAACTTTTGACCGGATGCGTTGGAGAAAGCAAATGCGCCAAAGTTGAGAATCGATGTGAACTACACGAGCGCTTCCGATATCGTTCAAGACATTCATCCCAGCATATTAGAATTAAAATCCAAGGGTTATGGTTGGTCTCGTTACTTGCTGGCTGAGGTGATTGATGCCGAATATCAAAACTCGTCGATACAGCGAAAGGTAGTTCACATTGCTGGATAATGATGACAATAGTAAGGTATTTGTCGTTAAGAGACAGCGAGAGTATATTGACGGAGCCACGATAGTTATTCGAATAATCGATAGCGTAAGCTTCCTGGATACCGTAGTCTTCCACTGCTATCTGAAAAAAGCCAAATTTCGACCCCCTCGTCTGCCTCTTTGACGTCGTACTCATAGTGGCTCGCACCTTAAGTGATCGTCACAATGGGAATTTTATCTTTGAAGGATCAATTGATGGGATATTGAGTGTTTAAATATGACTTGACTCTCTCACACGCCTAGTGGGCCGGACCCGAAATGTGGTTCTAAATCAAAAATGGTGAAGGATGGAAAATGTTCGTTGAAGAAAATAGGAGTCAGCGGATTGCTATATAAGGCT